GGTGTCACAGCAGCTTGGTACATTGAGACCACACGCCATACCATATTTGGCACGTCGCCGCAACCACGAGTTGCAACATGATAACGCCCGTGCCTAAAGTACTGCGAGAGCAACAAGAGACCTCCTCCAGCAGAATGGCATCAGAACCATGCAGTGGCCTGCCCTCAGTCCCGATTTAAATCCCATTGATCACCTGTGGGGCGAGATTCAAAGACGGCTGAATGACGTCCGACCAAGGCCGACAACTGCTGCTGAAGTGCGTCAGGCGTTCCTCAGAGTGTGGGCTCAAGTGCCTATGGTGGAGGCGACCGCCCGAATCTCGGAGGATCCAGTCCAAAGGTTTTGTATGTCTGAAGGATGGTGGCTCGAAGCAAGAGGGCGATTGTGTTACCGCTTACTTTAACCTGCGATGTCCTCGAAACCGGTATGAAGAGGCGGCGGCGTTGTCCATCACAGCGCCCTCACCTGACATGGTAGGAGTTCCAGCTCCTCCTCAGCTCACATTATCAATGAGAGGGACGGAATAAGGAAGGATCTGTCGGGCTGTCCTAGGAGTTGGTTCTTGGCTATGAAATCCCAGCACAGTCCGAGATGAACAGGCCCATGCGCTCCCTGTTCAAACCGGACACGCCTAACGTCCAGCGCGTGTAGCTCACTTCATGTGCCGCAGTAGCGAGAGCCTGAAGGTAGACCGTCTTCTTAGTGAGGCTATAGCACAACGCCGAATGGAATGGTTCAAAAGGCGCACCATCCCAAGCTGGGGGTCTAAACTTATCCTTCTGATCCTCCAGCCGGAAGGAGTTAGGTAAGGCTTGGAGTTCTGGGATCTTCGTCATTTTTCGATCTTCCGGAACCGCCAAAACAGAGTTGAGGGCCACAAGGTATGTCGCGGTAGTGCTTCCTTTCAGACGACGCTTGTGGTGCAAGAATAGAAGAAACTCGGACAAAAATTGGGGTGACCAAGAGGTGGGGTCCTGTTCTTTTCCTTGCATAGACCTTCGAAGGAGCGCCACTTATTGTCGTACAGACTTCTGTTAGACGGTCAATACGCCAATGTAATAGCTCTCCCTGTCCTAGCCGAGTAACCCTTGGAACTTAAGGCTCTTTGAAGATGGACCATACGTGCAGATATAATCTGTCTGGTGCCGGGTGTAGTCGTTTGCTGTGTGGGTGGATCAGAAGATTCGGCCAGTCTGGGGGTTGGAGAGGGTCGGCGGCGGCTATCTCTCATAGATCGACTAACCAGCCTCTCGCCAGCCACCAGGTCGCGACCAAAGTCAGAACTAAGCTCTGTGTCGACCTTATCTTCTAAAGGATCCTGGGAAGGAGTGCATATGCTTTCAGTCCTTCCCAGGGGACGCTGAAGGTGTCAACTAGTCAAGCCTGAGGATCCGGAAATGGTGATATGAAGGTTCGGATCTGGTGGCGAATAGGTCTATGCTGGGATGGCTGAGGTGCAGACAAACAAGAACGAAGGCGTCCACTCTGTGGGTGCGACTTTTGTCTGGTCTGTGTCCTGTCCTGGTTGTTCAGGAGGCTGTCGTCTATGTACGCCTCGAACTGGACATTCCTCAGGTGGAAGAAGGTGGCTATTGGATGGATCGGTACATGTAAGTATGCGTCCTGGATGTCAAGACTGATGAGAGAGTCGTGAGCCAATATCCTGGACCGGAGGAGCATGAGCTTGGTCGTCCCGAAATACGGTGGACGAGCCAGGTAGTGCTTGTTGTAGGTGGCGAGATTGTGTATAATTCGGAATTGGTCGGAGTCTTTTGTGGGACAAGGAATATTGGCTGATAGAAGCCTGGTGTTATGGCTGGGGAGTGTACAATCTCTATGGCCTCCTTGGCCAGCAACATGTCGATGTTGGAGCGCAGTTGCTGCTGTTGAGTAGGGGGGTAGGTGTGTGCTGTTGGTGACGACATTAGAGGCTGGTCATTCGTACCTTCAACGGAGGATGTCTACGATGTCCCCGAGGATTTCCCAATTCCGCCTGAATCATCCTAGTCTTCCACCTACTGGAGTCTCGACAACTGAAACGACTAGGGGTGGAAGGTCCCAGTCGTTTGTGTATGTCGATTGACTCCCTTCCTGAGAGCGGTCTCTGCGAGGCTGGTAGGTGCACCCTGGTTACGGCCACAAAAGGAGGAGTCCTGTCGGCATGGTAGTTGCCCGACCTGGATGGTTTGAAGGAGGCAGAGTGTGAGACATGAGCCAGGGCCTTGAGGGCGGGCTTGTCTCTGGCAAAACTTGAGATCCGAGCATATGTGTTCGAGACTTGTTCGTTAAAGAGGTTGGTAGACGGTGCGTGGTCGTGATTTCTTTTAGGTGGCACGCATATGAGTGCGCATATGTGCTGGTGCTCTAGGCAGCCAAGGCAGAGGTAAGATGGTCCAGTCGATTGTGGTTGTCCTCCGACAGATCCTGTATGATAGCCCCGGAGTTGGATGCCATGACGGAGAGATGTTTTAACGAGCGTCTGAGCTCCGTCTCCACGTAAGCCAGCTTGTTGTTGGATGTAGGGTCTGACGAGATAGTGTCCCTCCTTTCGACGCCTGACCCCAGGGAATGTGCCACTGCCTCCAACCGGTCGGTGCTCCAGTCTGCCACCTGGTTTAGCCCCAGATGGGAGTCAGCCTCTGATACCAATCCCTAGTATGTTTGGATAAAGGAGCCTTCTGATGATAATCCCTGATCTATAATCCCCAGAGTGCTGAACCGGAGAGCGGCTCCAAGAACAGCGCCTCCAAGAACAGCGCCTAGACCGAGAGGACTTGCTCTCACTGTGTCGTGATGAGGCGCCGGGCGAGGTGGAATCATGGGATAAGGTGGACTGCTCTGTAGAGGTGCTGCATAAGTCCCAGCCAGGCATGTGTGAGGGCATTTGTAGAGACACTGGTAGAGACACTTGGGAAGACGCCAGGACAGATGCTGTAGGAGCCAGGGGCGCCTATATCCTTGCCCAAGCTGAAGGCACCGGATACCGGACTGTTGCAGCATCTGCATGTAATGGAACCACACTGGGTCCAAATAGATGTGTGGAATGTCATGGGAAGCGTCTGTTGATTGGCAGGAATCCTGAAGCCCGAAGGAGAACATCAGCGCCTGGGAGGAGACAACGACAGAGGTGGTAGGTGACGTGGCCGACAATGACAGAGGGGTAGCTGCAGACGTCATAACCGGGATGACAGGTGACATGGTGGTGGGGGAAAGCGGGAGACAGTCTTTACATTTCTGGATGCAGATGGGCATGCAATTTAGCCACAAAGGATGGGGGTCCCACCCAGACTTATTACGGGGACACTTGCTACAAGGTGGCATGTATATCTGCAATGAAGCAGAGTGTAATCACAATGCGTTCCGCCCAATTATCATTATGTATACTCTAATTGTTTGTCCAAGCCAGTGGGTGTATGAAAAACAAGTTTACGCAGATAACGCAAAACACCATCACTTTACTAAACAATATTATTGCAAGATTATGTCAATGATGAAGTCCCAGGCAATATAAAGAATACAGAACGCATGCCATGAATAAGGGTGACCATGGACAATATTCAAGATGGCTCCTAGAAACAACAAAACGCCCATTACTAGGGGTGACTATTGAGGCATTTTTTACTAATGCGATACTATTGCGATAGTTAAAACAACTATTGCGATACTATTGCGATAGTGGCCCTACTATTGTGATACTATTGCGATAGTTTTCACTTGCAATTATAGCAGGCTTCAGCAGCATATATTTCAGCATTTTGACTGACACCATCAAAATAATTATAACTTTTTGATACTATTTGTAAAGAAAACAAGAAATGAAAAGAAAACAAGTTCAAATTGACCTCTCAAAAACATTTTAATACAAATATCTGGGTGCTGTCTTGTCAAGTGGTCGGTCAGATTAGTAGTATTTCCTGAATACTTTAGAATTATCCGACAGATTCTACAACTTACTTTTTGCTTGTCTGTCTCGCTTGCGTTTTGACAAAGTTAAAATGGTCCCATACCCACGATTTGCCTGCCTTATTGGCGACAATTTCAAACTGACATGTGGCGTCCGCCGTCTTGTCAATGTTGCCTAGCGACGAGTAACTAAGGGACGTAACTCTAAATCAAGCAGACAAAGTTGTGCAATCCAAACGAAAGCACGACAGAGGTTAGATGATCATAGGAGTTGTTTCTATGTTTTTTTAAGAAAGTAATGTACCAAACACATTAACTATCAAAACTATCGATAGGTAGACAAACTATCGCCAATATTATCGATTGTTACAAGTTGCAATCGATAGTGTACTATCGTGAGACAAGCAATTGCAATCAATCGATAGTTTGATGTATCGTTACACCACTACCCATTACCAGGGTGAAAACCACAACAAGGCGATAATTAATCAAGCTGTGGCGTTATTCATATGAAAGATATGAAAACACAAACCGTATGCACAATATCGTTCACAAGAAAAATTACTGGAGTCATTCAATTCAATGAAAAATGTGATAGTTACAATAGGTAATGTGCTGATCCATGACGTAAATCCCTTTTGGGTCTCATGGGAGCTGAGTGATACGGTTAGTTGAAACAACTTCTTCTTCAGCAAGACTTCACACAGCTTTCTCTCTGTCAAGGACAAGCAGAAGATGCATTAAGGAGTAATGCAGTATAACTTAAAAAATTAGATATATGTGAATTTCTGCAATTTCTGAGTTAACCTTTGTGTTTCTATTTGGAAATCACCTCATCATGCTCATAACACTTACAACCATCATTGCAGACGGGGAACCTAAGAAACGGTCAACTTTATGGATAACAACCTCTGGTTTATTGAAACGTTGCTGCATGCAATAAACCAGAAGTTGTTATCCATAAAGTTGTATGTTTCCTTACTTACTCACTAACTTCTAGAATGCCATTCAAACAGTAAGATACGGGGACCCTATTTGGCCCCTGAATCCAAAAGGGATGTCTGTACTTCCACAAATAGAAACACTGACAACATGCATAAATTCAACTGAGGCTAGTCAGCCTGTTCATTTACAAAAACATGGAATGATCAAACAAGACAAAATCACATTGCCTAAAAGGCAATACACCCAAGTACAGAAATATCTCCCCTCCCACCTCCATATTGTACATACATATCAAAATGGTTTAATCATACAAAGATATCAAAGTGTTGTTACGTTGTGGGTAAGTTACACATGATAACAGTAATAGAACAAATTGATTATTAAGTCTTTGAAAGGCATTTAGAAGTGATACACACAAGTAAGAGAGTTTATGGATGTCTCCATTATGAGGAACACTATGTTAGCTCTGATTAGTAATTAGCAATGGACAAAAGGAATATTAACCCCTGCCTTCCGTTCGTCCATTACTAATCACCAATCAGCAGTAATTAACTGTAGGCTTTCCTTGTTAAGTTTCCGCCTTTGTTGTCCAACTAATTTTGTGGTTCTTACATGTAATATATATGCTCTCTGCTTCCTAGCATTCATTCACCTGGTGAAGGAGTAAGCAGACACTCTGAAACATTTGTGTTCCTCATAATACAGAAGCTGAGATCCAAAAAAATTTTTAACCCTCTAACAGCTGCTGCTAAGAATGACCACAATCTGTACTTCAACAAATGATGAAGTGTTCAAAATTAATCATAGTGAGTGAGCTAAAATTTAACATCACATCCTCAATATTCGGCCATATCATTAAGGCCACAAAATTAAGCATAAAAGTCTGGGCGTCCATATTCAGCGTTTGAAATAAAATAAATTGCCAGGCTGCCATCATGACCCACAGACTTTAGAAGCTGCAGGCCCTTACTAAGCTCCTCGGGCCCTCATTTAAGAAACTGCAGCTTATTGTGATAAATACATCAACAGGTAAATTTACTGCAGGCCATAAGAACCCATACAAGTCGGAAACTACGAGTTTGACACAAGATCTACCCGCCACAGGCCTGCGGGAAGGTGCTTATTTCACAGCCAGGATTCAAGCAGCATCAATGATCCAAGCAAACAACTTAACAAGTAACACTGTTCAATACACATCTATGCATTTCTCTTTTTCTTGTTAAAAAACATATCACTGCCATACAAACATTTTATCACAGTGATTCATAAGCATGATTAACCTCATCAATAACATTCATTCACTTCAAAATATTTAGAGTTACGAGTCCCATTCCGCAAATCGATCATTGCACTACAATGATTAAGTGCTGTTTACAATCAATGACCAATGCATAAACTTCCATTGCTGGCAAACCTCTCAAAATTCCCATAAATATTTGTCCCCTGTAAAAACAGTTTTTAAATTACACAAGTTTTTGTAAACATCAACAATAAAAAGATCTAATTGTCATCAAACATTTCCCCCATAACTGACAAACGCATGTGGAATGGCAAAGCTTGACACTTCATCATACTAGGAACTGATGTGTAGTTCAAGTCATAGTCCTTCAACTCTCTGTACAGATGGTTAATGTTAGGGTGCTCAGATATATTTTTATCATTAACTCCAGTCAAACCAGTAAATATCTCCAACAGCCTTGCAGCAAGCTGTAGAGAATGTTTCTTCCGTTCAATAGTGGTAGTCTTCTCTTCAAGTTTTAACATATTTTCCCGTTTTGGATTCTCCGACTTGGATTTGCTACTTACTTCAGGTACCCTCGGAGCATACTCTAAGCTCTCGTTGTGATTATTCTCCACTGACTTATCTGGGTGTTCCTGAGTGTCCGTAGTCTTATAAGTCACCTTAACTTTAACACGACCATCATCAGCTACTTCTGACGAAACAGTTGAAACTACCTCCTTGGTATCATCAACTTCCTCCTCTTTTGAATTATCTTCCACCACAATTTCCATCGACTCCACTCTTTCTTTAGGTGTAACTTTCACCTTTTTCTTCAACTTCTTCCCTTCAATGAGACTTTCCTTAACCTCAGTGATGTCCAGCAGTTCAAGGAGGTTGAGATTGTCGTGGAACTCCTGCAGTTCCGCATCCTCGGCCGCCTTCTGGGCGCTGCAGCAGTGGATGGCAGCAATGTCCATGGGGTGAGCCTCTGTGTTGAAGATGTACCCACCAGTGTCTATCACACACTCGCCGCTGGGTGTCTTGATGACTTTACCATGGTTGCCTTGGTTGTGGATGAAGTTGTCTGGGTCGAACAGGAGATACAGGTACTTGGTGGTCTCTGCTAGGAAGAAAGATTCCATTCTGTCTTCAAGGCGATGGTTGCGGACATCTTTAACCTGGTCGTGATAGATGGTCAGTGTTATGCTTCCATGTGTGACAGCATGTAAGAAAGTGTGAAGATATATCAAATGTTTCTAAGTTTGTAGATTCATAATGTAGGATTTTGATACTCAATACCTACGGGCCAAGAAATGAATACTTGTGAAAATGATGGATCTTGTCACAGAACTACAGTTCTAGGGGGGCATACCCATAGAGATACGAGGAATGAGGGATCATCTGTCCCGAGTGAAAGAATGTTGATGAGCAACAGATAATCCATAATTCTGAGTTGCTTATTCTGTAATAACTCACTGTCATTTCAAGAAAGAAAATGAAGAATAATGTATGAAATGGCAACACAACAGGGTCAAACCTGGGTCCCCTGGCTATCTTAAACACTGAATGTGCATAAAAGATATCTTACTAGGCAGAAAATACATGCAAAATTTTGCAGACATACCAGTAAATTTTAGCCTTGGTAATTTTTGTGTGTAATGATTCACATACTAAATATAAAAAAAAGCATTTTCAAATTGAGAGAAAGTTGAAATTCAATCAAACTGTTCGCTGCCCCTTTTCTCATGCATTTTAGATTCAAGTTCAACCAAAAATAAGAATCTTTCGTCAATTTCCAAATTACATTTGTTCACAATAATGTGTCTTAACAGAAAAGAAATTCTTGTGCAGTATCTGAGGATGGTGAGATCAAGCAATTTATAAGTCTAAACTTTCATGGTATAAAGAGCAACATAAATTGGAGGTGAACTGACCGTAGCATATCCACATGGTGTCCTGGCACTGTGCTCTATGGCTTCCAAGATGTCGACGCCGATCTCCAGGATGTAGGGGTCCCTCGTGGCCTGATACAGGTACATCGCACTCTCTACCAACTCTGAAATATAGCAAGTGTTTAAAAGGCATTTAGAAGCTGGAAGAATATGAAGACATGTGAAAATATCACCTGATAAAGAGGCAAGAAGTAGACCCAAAACATTGTTACAAATTAAAAGAAGTTGTTATCCATTAAAAAGTGTCAAATATTCCTGAAATATATCATAGCTAGAATCAGCGAATGAATGTTGTGCAAAGACACTGTTCAAGAACATAGTCAAGACAACTTCTAAAGATCCAACAATTACCCAAGTCTCAGGATTGTACAAGTAAATATTTAACATTAACTTGCAATCAATATTACAATCATATTTCACATGACCTTGATCGTTTATGAACATCACACCGACATTAGATGTTTCCTGCTTGTAGGGAGGTAACCCTAGAGATAGTCATCAAGTCACACTGTAAGACTGTCAGACGGTGGCACTACAGCAGTACATCTTACAGAACATATCTCACAAAACAAACAATTAATTAAGTAAACACTGGAATGCCATGCGTTATGTTCCACAGGCCACCACTCAAGCTGTTGGTGAAACAACTGCTCACTGGTTACCATGACGTCAACTCTCACTGGTGACCTATTCTATCCTGGAATCCACACAGGATAACTAAATAACACTCAGTAACACACGTCTCCCCGTCTGACACGTACCTGGCCTGAGGGGGTATCCCTCCCTGCCCTGGTGGATAGCTAAATAACACTCAGTAACACACGTCTCCCCGTCTGACACGTACCTGGCCTGAGGGGGTATCCCTCCCTGCCCTGGTGGATAGCTAAATAACACTCAGTAACACACGTCTCCCCGTCTGACACGTACCTGGCCTGAGGGGGTATCCCTCCCTGCCCTGGTGGATAGCTAAATAACACTCAGTAACACACGTCTCCCCGTCTGACACGTACCTGGCCTGAGGGGGTATCCCTCCCTGCCCTGGTGGATAGCTAAATAACACTCAGTAACACACGTCTCCCCGTCTGACACGTACCTGGCCTGAGGGGGTATCCCTCCCTGTCCTGGTGGATAACTAAATAACACTCAGTAACACACGTCTCCCCGTCTGACACGTACCTGGCCTGAGGGGGTATCCCTCCCTGCCCTGGTGCACCTCCGACTTGGGGATGTTGTAATACTCTGGGGTGAATCCGAACTGCTTCCAGACCTGGTGGTAGTTGTGTAGTGTCTTCATGCCCTTCTCTACACTCCCCATCATGCCCTGCAACAGTCACGTTAGCTGTATTGTTTTGTTGGTTTGTCGTTTAATGTTTCACACCATTCCAGCTATGTGGCAGGCTGGCTGTAAATAATCAAGTCTGGACCAGACAATCTAGTGATCATTATAGTGCATAACGGTCCACGCTATCAGGTACAATGATATGCAATCAACCAAGTCACCGAGCATGACCTAGAATCCCCATCCAGTCACATCTTATGACCAGCATAGGTTCCTGGGGACCTGTTCTAACCTGGAATCCCCATCTGGTCACGTCATACGCCCTGCATCGGTTGCTGGGGATCTGTTCTAACCTGGAATCCCCACCCGGTCACGTCATATGCCCTGCATCAGTTGCTGGGGACCTGTTCTAACCTAGAATTCCCATCCGGTCACGTCATACGACCTGCATCAGTTGCTGGGGATATGTTCTAACCTGGAATCCCCACCCGGTCACCTCATATGCCCTGCATCAGTTGCTGGGGACCTGTTCTAACCTAGAATTCCCATCCGGTCACGTCATACGACCTGCATCAGTTGCTGGGGATATGTTCTAACCTGGAATTCCCATCCGGTCACGTCATACGACCTGCATCAGTTGCTGGGGATATGTTCTAACCTAGAATTCCCATCCGGTCCTGGAATCCCCACCCGGTCACCTCATATGCCCTGCATCAGTTGCTGGGGACCTGTTCTAACCTAGAATTCCCATCCGGTCACGTCATACGACCTGCATCAGTTGCTGGGGATATGTTCTAACCTGGAATTCCCATCCGGTCACGTCATACGACCTGCATCAGTTGCTGGGGATATGTTCTAACCTAGAATTCCCATCCGGTCACGTCATACGACCTGCATCAGTTGCTGGGGATATGTTCTAACCTAGAATTCCCATCTGGTCACGTCATACGCCCTGCATCGGTTGCTGGGGACCTGTTCTAACCTGGAATCCCCACCCGGTCACGTCATACGACCTGTTCTAACCGGTCACGTCATACGATCTGCATCGGTTGCTGGGGACCTGTTCTTACCTGGAATCCCCATCTGGTCACGTCATACGACCTGCATCGGTTGCTGGGGATCTGTTCTAACCTGGAATCCCCACCCAGTGGAATATTGCTGCGTGCAGTGTAAACACAAACAAATATTAAGGAGGATAATGGAATGGACTACCTGTACACCCGGCCAGTAGCAGTCCAGTGATGTGAAGACTGGTAGAGTTATTCCCCCTTTCTTCATGTTAGCCCACATGTACCAATCATCTCTTTTCACATACTTCTCCACAGTTGCTTCATACTCTGTCAGAATCAAATATCAAGAGCACATTAACACATACCAAACTAAATCAAAGAAAAAACAAAACATTTCTTGAATTCAACAACATTGCCCACAAGAAAAATCTCAACAATAGGCTAAAAAAATAATAGTCTCTCATTCTCAGGCACCGCTCGATTCATTTTGATTTTATTTCCTTTTAAAAAAAAATTAAATGCAATCCAATATAGCACACAGTTACTTCCCTTTCATAGTCATAGCTACAAGACAACATTGTGTACATGGCCCTGTCCAATCGTAGTGCTACAGCCATCATAATTCCCCCACTCTATAATAGTGATAGCTCCACGACCCAACTGAGAACAGGGCATTGTCCAATCATAGTGCTACAGCCATCATAACTCCCCTACTTTACAAGTCATAGCTCCAAGACTCCAATGTGTACTTGGCCCTGTCCAATTGTAGTGCAACAGCGTTCATAATTTCCACACTTTAAAACAGTCATATCTCCAAGACCCCATGGTGTACAGGGCTGTTCCCAATCATAATGTTACGACCATCATAACTCCCTTATATTAACTTGAGAGTCATAGCTGTAAGAACCATTATTGTTCCCTAAAAAGAGAATGACACTCTACCAGAGTTTGATTCACTGTGTTTAGAAGCCTGTGTTTCAGAGCTAGACACTGTATGCACCTGTTTGACCACAGGACCTTTAACAACCAACATTTATCATGGACATGTAAGAGTTGTGATGGCAAGGACCTCTTGACTTTCATACTTAATTTCTACTACACTACTCACATAATGCTGAGAAAAACACAGCTGATACCAGTAAATAATTAGATTGTTACAGTAACTGATATCTCAGCATATCTAAGGCACTGCAATGGCTGTGCAGAGTTGATTCCCTTGGGAATGCTAAGGGTTCAAATCCTGGTTCCCCCTGATTTTGGTTCTCGGTTTGTCAGCACCATACCCATGCTCATGGGTTTCACCAAAGCGGTATAAATCTGAGAACTGCATCACTTTCCTCCTACATCAAGTTGACATTCCTTGATATAACTGGAATACTGTTTAACAAGCGGTTCACCCCAACTCACTAACTCACTCAGATTTTTGGCTATGGTATTTCAATAAAGAGCCCCTTGATTTCTGCCACTGGTTATCATGACTATGATCAAAGTAATAAACAATACTGCAGATGAACTGGTCAGACAAATAAATGATAGGTGACAAAAACTCTCCTACTAAAACAAATACAAGCCCTAATAAACCAACCTTTGAACATTTCGAGAAGCTCTGGGATCTGGAACATCACAGCTCCCTTGGCCAGGTACTCAAAGTACGAGTCTATCCCTCCACCAATACCAGAGTCAATAGCTGTCCATTTACCCTCAGCAACATCAACATGGTTACCCACCTATGGCAGACAAAATATTCATCTCTCATTGATCATATCTAATTTAAAATTTACACTAAAAATGTTGTAGCTTGGGTCCTCTCTACTTTATGAAAATACAATAACAAATGGACCCGTGAAGATTCCGGGATAGAATAGGTCTTCAGCAACCCATGCTTGCCGTAAAAGGCAACTAACGGGATCGGGTGGTCAGGCTCGCTGACTTGGTTGATGCATGTCATCGATCCCAATTGCGTGGATCAATGCTCATGATATTAATCACTGGATTGTCTGGTCCAGACTCGATTATTTACAGACCGCCATCATATAGCTGGAATATTGCTGAGTGCGGTGTTAAACAACAAACCAACCAACCAACAATAACAAATGAGATGCACAAGATCTGAAATGCCAAATCATATCTTGTAGATTGAGAGTCTGTGGTCTGGTGGATAGAGCGTCTGCCTGGAGAATGGATAGTTTGGTGGTACGATCCCCAGCTGTGTCATACCAAAAGACATTGAAAGATGGTACATATTGTTACCCTGCCTGGGATAAGTCATGACTAGTACAAGCAGCCACACACATGTGTATGCATGTTGCTATATAAGTGCAATAATCTTGAATGCAACGTAAAAACCCTGTGTCACCTCAACATAGATTGAGGGTGAGTGAGTGAGTGAGCGAGTTTGGTTTCACACTGCTTTTAGCAATAGTCCAGCAATATCACAGCGGGGGACACCAGAAAGGGGCTTCACACATTATACCCATTTGGGAATCGAATCCAGGCCTTTGGCAAGTTGAGCAACGCTTTAACCACTAGGCTACCCTACTGCCCCTCTGTAGATTGAGAACACAGATAACAGGTTGACCCAGCTTGTCGTTAGAGGCGACTAACTGGATCAGGTGGTCAGGCTAGCTGACTTGGTTGATGCATGCCATCGATCCCGATTGCATGGATAGATGCTCATGATGTCAATCACGGGATTGTTTAGTTCAGACTTAATTATTTACAGGCTGCCGTCATACAGCTGAAATATTGCTGAGTGCAGTGTTAAACGACAAACAGTCAATTAGGTTAGTTGACTAATGAGATGTTGCTGTGATATAGCTGGCATATTGCTGTCTGCAGTATGAAGCAACATTCACTCAGTGCTACAGCTCAGAGCTGGGGTCAGATGGGCTTTAACACTGCGTTGAAGATTTTGGCACGTGTGTGTGGATGCTTGTACTAATCCGGACTGATGCCCATTTCATAGAGCTAGCCCACTGAGATACCATGCCATAGTTTAACAAGGATACCCCACTGAGACACCTAATACTGACTCAGTGCCAGCCTTCTTTTATTCGCTTAACGCCCAATGCCACACAGGGTAACAACAAGGACCATCATATAATGCCTTCTTGTCATGAGATGGCAAGGGGATTGAACCACATTCCTTCCACTCTCAGGGCAGACGCTTTATCCACTACATTCCAGAGCACGAGGCATGGTAACAACAAGTACAATCTTTGGTATGGCGCGACCAGGGGATCAAACCACATACCCTCCGCTCTCCTGGCAGATATTCCAATAGACTACAGAGGCAGTTAGTTACCTATGAAAGCTGAAAAATAAGTCAAATGTGGCTTACCATCCCAATTTGAGATCTGATATCCCATAATGTCCTGAGTGCGCGCATAGCTACTTTCTCAAAAATAGGATCCCCTGTCAGCCGGCTAAGTGCACCAAACTCTATAAGGAATGTGCCCACACCTGCAGTACAGGTGACAGTTGTCTCCCCTTTGGGAACACCATGCCGAAGGTTGACAGTGCCATATGGCATCCCAGTTGGTGTGTCAAAGGCTGAAAAATTCATGATACAGAAATGAAAGCAGAATAAAGGAATTTTATACTCATAATGTAATAAGTCTCATCACTTTTGTGGGAAGCCCATGGACTATATTGCCATTGGAGGATCTTAAACTATCCCCACTTGAGGTATTTAATGATTCAAAAACAATCTTCAATTTGTTCAATACAGAATCCATAGAACTGAGGAGAGCTCCAGATAATTTTTTCAGCCAGTGAGTATTTACTCATATGTTATCGTTCGTTGGTTTGTATGTGTTTTTAACGCAACACTCAGCAATATTCCAGCTTTATCACGGTGGTGTGTAAATAATCTGGTCTCACCCCGACAATCCAGTGACTGACATAATGAGCATCAATTTATGCATACAATCAACCAAGTCACAGAGTCCGACCACCCGATCCATTTAGTCCCCTATTATGACAGCATGGGTTGTTGGGGACCTCTTTTCTTACCAGCCATCCCCACAGGTGTTTCATGGGTACTGATAACTTTTGTTTGGGTATTCAACATATTTTAACTCACTTTTATCAAGTTTATTAGGAAATTTAAACCAGTGACCTATGTTTTAAATTATTCTGCTTAAAATTCAGTTTCGGTTAACTGCTAGTTTTCAGCTGTTCATGTGTTGCCTCAATGTGTTACATAAGGTCACAAACAGCGATACATGTTCCTGTTACTATTAGCAGTTATATATATATCTTATAAATTTCTTACCTTAACTTATAAAAGTAAAGAAATGACATAAATATACCGCTTCCAGAAATATATACATAAGATAAGCAGATATGGTTTTAGGACAAATGACAATAGACATTCTGACATTCAAAGTAATTCAAACTTAAAGGGGCACTGATCTAACGGACTGGTTGTTGCCTTTGTTATTGTTTTCCCCCCGTGAATACCCGGATGATACGCAACGCAACTGAGCGTGACCAGAGACTGGGGTACCGTCTGCAAGGACAGCTAAATAAACTTGGAGGCTGGAGGCAATATTTGTTTCACTGATTGGTTAACTGTGATCTATAAAGATTTCCATAAAGGGCGCATGTTAATTCATTTCTTCAGCCTAAACAAACAGACAAAAAGAACAAGGGAGCTCATCGGATGTCGTCATTTGGAAATACCCCAGATGGTTATAGTTTAATATTAAAAACAGTATCCATGCAGTGAAAGCATTTTCGGATTTCAGCTTGCATCGATAATACAATTACTACTCCCTTGTTGTCATCCACGTTTTCTCATATAACCCTACACTTGTGTATTTGTCGTCATTCACTTGATGCTCAGTTAATGAATTTATTACAGGTACAATTAGTGGTAGCACCACTTATATTACCTGACAAAGGTTCCCATTTGGCATTTATTGTGTCTGGGGTAATTATTCAATCTAAATCCAGGTTTGAAGTGAGGTGAAATGTGTGTTATGTAATATGCACGTGGCAGCCCAGCAAGAGATGAATGATCAGTTGATTTACTTTTTTTTGTAAATCAACGGATCGTTCCTAGTCATCAAAGGATTAACAGAAAATACGTTGATTGATTAATCACTGTTATCTTGCACAGTGGATATGTCAAGAGTGAGTGTTTACATGTCTAGGTTTAAAAACAAAAGGAATACACTCATATCATGGCGCGAAGTGCCGATGTAAAAACAACATACTTTGTTCAAAGGGTTAACTGATAATACGTTGATTGATTGATCATTGTTATCTATCCCTCAATAGAATTTTTAGGAACCGTGGACGCTATGAAAATAGTTGTCACGTGGGCTTTCTCAGCCGACCATTGAGACTTGACACCTATGTAAAACACCTGAAACAATCCAAGCGATCTGTTGAGAAACGAACACGGGTTATAATATCCCGAAACGATATATATCTTTTAAAATATTTGATTGTTACTGAGACACGTGACATCGAATAAGTTTCTTTGTACAGCTGCAGACGAGTGGGATATTGTTCCTTTGTGTGGATATTCACGGATACATTCCTCGAACAAGGAAGCTGCCTAAAACTTATACACATAAATTTGTTAGGTTGTAATTATGATATCTGCATTTTGCTTTCCTTCAATTGAACCGATTCGTTCTTGTTTCTCTACGTATTGGTTGGGAAATTCTTCAATGCGCGAAAGTCGTTGTTTTCCTTTGTAAGCGTGTATATATTACCGTCAATTTGTAAAATGTGATTCTCTCAGGCAATTTATAAAATGTCATTTTGACTAAAAAATCTGTCCAGATTGATCAAGACGATCAAAAGGGCCTACAAACATCACAACAGATTATTATGTAGGATTAAAAGCCAAACAACTTAGAAATGTACTTTTCAACGTTACATTTTCAGTCTCTTGGTGATGACATTAAACATCAAAATGTTTGGAATTCGTTGTCATAATAATACAGATGGAAATGTTTTTCAGTCACTTTGTAAAATAACTGAATATTTAGACGTTTAATAAATGTGTTACACATTTGACAGTAAAAAAATATACACACTATAAAAAAAGCATATGCTCAGGTGAAATATATACTTTGTGTTGCAAGTCAAAATAGTGTAAACGAAAATCGCAAAATTACCAAGCAAGTGACTTATCAAAACTTCGTCACCATTACCGATGCTACTCACAAAGATACCTACATTTCCTTATTATCTCGAAAACTGTATTTCATTTTGTTGATCAATGTGACCATACACCCTTATTACTACCCATAAAAGTGACTAATGCGCTTACGAATGGCGCAGCAGAGGTCGCGAACTAGTCTAGATTTCTGCTATACATCCGGGTACTCACTGGGAAAAAACAATAACAAAGGCAACAACCAGTCCCGGGGAATTGCGTTAGATCAGTGCCCCTTTAACATTAGATTTCACTCAATACAAGATATATCTACTGAAATACCAATCTCATTCAACTCAGACCTTGATATAACACTTCTCTGCGAGAAAAGCCCCAAAGGTTCCTAAATTCCAAAAGGGAGTACCCTAAAAGGTATATTTGTGTTCGTTGTGGGTTTTCTTTTAGAAAAGGCAACATAAATTAGAAAGCTGACATCTGATTACCCCTTCATGTAGACTGGGTGGTAAAAGTTCACTTAAGGTTCACCTGACACAACCTTCTATGTAGGGCTTGTCAGATCTACACAGAGAAGTATTGTTTCGGAGTAAAAGATCAGATCTTAATGTGAGTCTTTATCATGAGAACGCAGTGATGCCGCGTACCTGGCAGGAGCTTCCTGGCGATGACTTCAGCCATCCTGAGCAGCGGCCCCGAGCAGGGCCAGCCTGGCTCCAGGACCATGTCAGCTCTATGGGTCAGCAGGTGGGCTGAGATCAAGCCTCCAACAACTGTAATCATACATTGACCATGTAGTTTTACAACCAATATCATTAATATACAGCTTGGTAATGATATGATTGGAATAATGCTAAAAGTGACTTAAAACCCAACTCACTTTTTGCAAAGCCCAAACAGTATAACTATATTGTACTATACCTCTGATATTGGTTTCAAAGACTGAAGCATTGATGTCCATATCAAAGAAATCTTCTGATTTGTCTATAAGCATCTGTGCTATGCGTCGGAACTCAGTGTGGTTACCCATGATGATGAGGGTGTCAAGGGCGTCCACTAGGGTCAGGGAGTAGCTGTTTAAACACAAGGCACAAGGAGTTTTCAAAGTGTCATTCATGCAGGATTTACCTGAAACCTAAATGTTAAATTACTGTAAATTCCACCAACAGTTGAAACTAAGGAGAGAGAAAGGGTCCTTGATATGTATTGTATTTGAATTTGGCAACCCATTATATTTTTATTTATCTTATTAATAGTTTTACAAATTATTTTAGGCTAACAACATATATTTTATTCTTAATCTGCTGACAAAAAGTGGCCATGTTGACAAGTATGAAGATGATATTTTTCCAAAATTATATATTTTCAACATTTCTCTGAAAAAGTAACGAAACACTCTAAAGCCTCATGAAATTTCCAGTGCTATGGCAGCCACTGCAGTCCACTCGCCAAAGACTACAAAACTGTGTTGAGGAAAAATACAAATCCAATGATGATAGTCCTCATTGTGTAGAAGCATAATTCTGAACCAATTCTCGAGCTTCAGTTTTGCAACAAATTTTAGCTAAATAAAACTGACAGAAAATATTAATATAGTAAACATTTTTGTTTGTTCAATCAGGATTAGGCACAAATTCTGAGTACTAGTGAATTTAATTTACACTTGTCCTCTGGACAAAGTCTTAAAAAATCAAATTTCTAAGGCTGTTGGGTTAAAACATTTATTATAGTAATGATCTACCTTCCCCATGTATCCTGTCCATCACAAGAAAGTGGGCGGAGCTCATCATATGGATAGGCATACTTCAAGTAGCTGTCATAGGCATGCTGGAACATCTGTATGACCCTCTCTCTGAAACACACATGCAAACTCAATAACCACCATCAACTCTCAACAGGCACTATTTGTGTTCTGTTTTATCATCTCTTGTCTCTTTTTTAACAAACACAGCAAACTCAGAAGCTTTCTAGCCAAGAAGCACAATGCTGTTAGAGTCACTGTCAGCCCAGGAACTATACACATGTACCCTATCTTGGCAGAAAATATATATCTATATATATATTAATATATCTTCACTAAATTCAATTGCCTGTGTTTCATTCTTTGTTATTTAACGCCACAATCAGCAATATACCAGGTATATGACGGCGGTCTGTAAATATCGAGTCTGGACCAGACATTCCAGTGACTGACATCATGAGCATCGATCCGAAAAATTGAAATATGATGACATGCATCAACCAAGTCAGCAAGTCTGACCACCCGATCCCATTAGTTGCCTCTTACGACAGGCATAGTCGCCTTTTACAGCAAGAATGGGTTGCAGAAGACCTGTTCTACCCCAGATTTTCACGGGTCAGTTACCTTTGAGATGACATGAAAGTGTGATTGACAGGCACATACATATTCAATAAACAGTAAACAATAAGGGGAGTAATCATTTAGCATGAGTATCATCAAACAAAGGTAATAAATATTTTTGGTTTTCTCAAGGTCTACACTATACACATCAAGCTCATATCACGAAAACTGAGGACACTGTTTTGACTATCTGACGTGTCCCAAGCAAAGGAAATTCACCTATATTTTCCAATATCAATATTCCGTGGCTTTGTGCCTTCATCTGCTCGTAGATGTGAGCTAAAAAATATAAGAATCAGATATAACGACCGCCCAAATATAATCTTCTTGTAAGAAAATAAACTTTTCATTATTTCTCCGCTTCCGTCGTCTGCCAACGAGCACCAGTTTTCGTGCTCCGGAGTGATATTTACCGGGTCACTTGTATTTGTTTCATTGGTGCTAAGTTATTAGATCTATCAGGTGAAAATACAGTTACTTTTGTGCAATGCTTGCTTGCTTATTAGTGACATTCAACGACCACTTTGAATAAACGCTAGGTAAATTTGTTATGGTTTTATGTCCTACTCTCGTCTTTTACGGTGTTTTTGTCCGGATTTTAAACGTCTCGCAAACTCTCGCTCACCAAACGCGAAAAGTTCCTCTTCCGGTTTGAGGCCATCACTACCCGTCAAGTATGTTTTACTTGGAAAATAAATCTGGCAAAATCTGCTATTTTAGAGTACCATCATGTTCCATAATCCTTCTATGTGTTAATGAAACATTAAACTCTTAGTAAAAATAGTCTTACCTTTAAAAGTATTCAAATTATTGGTCAACTGGCTGTATGAAAACACATGTCTATATAGATTTATCAGTTAAAGACACACGAAGACATGTTTACACGATGAAATTAATGTTGTATTGGATAAGACAGCGTATTATTTTTAGGTGTATGTATAATGTACGCTCTTTCCTTGCAGGTTGTTTCTTTTGGGAATTGTGGGGAATAGAATTGACTAATCGTGGTGAAATCAGTAGACCACAATTTTCACAGATTAATTCTCCATTGAATACCACAACCACTTTTTCCAGCTTTTATGAACTTTGATCATCATGATCATGCTCTGAAACTTAGACAAGCGACTTTGTGTATGCAGGCAAACTATAAATACGCCAAAGAAATGTATCAACAAGATCGTCAGTGGTTCACATGGGCTTGTAAAATTTCTGACATTATACATTTGTCTTGGTCTGCATTATTGGTGTGTTGCAAACAAAGTACTTACCCAAAGGAAAAGATAGTGAACTAGGTTACTAAGACATACACTTGTGATTTCAGTTTTGAAACACTAGCATACTGATCAGTGCAGATGTTTATGATCATTTTTTTCTGTTGTTCATTGATCATTATTGTAGTCTTTAAAATTGTAGCTGTCTAGAGCTCCGCTATCTGACATTAACTGGTTGAAACTTGTACAAGAACTCGTTCTGACAGTAACAGTCTTATTGAGCCTGATGCTGACTTTGCTGAGCTTCAGTCTGTCAAAGTGGACATTGAAAAATACTGTAGAAACACATATATTCCTCATGTTACCAAGAAGTGTTCCTCAAAGTTCACTAAAATATTTCATCCATAAATCTTATCTTCACTTGAATATTTCAGTTGAAAATGTATTTTGTCATGAACTGGAAGATATTATAGCTATTTTATTCCATTCCTGTATCAGTGCTTGTGTTTACTACTTTAAGCAATATTCATCAAAATATTAAAAATGTTTGATGAATCTTGGCTTTTCCTGAGACATGAAATGATAATTGTAGAAAAAGGTGTTAAGTTGTACATGAACCTAATGTTTAACAATCCATTAATAATATACTTTCTTGTCTTTCAGAATGTTGATGCCCAAAAAGAACCGTGTGGCTATCTATGAATACCTTTTCAAGGAGGGGGTTATGGTTGCAAAGAAAGATTTCTTTGCTCCTAAACACCCTGATGTTGATGTGCCCAACCTCCATGTCATCAAAGCTTGCACAGTAAGTTTGGTTACATCTTCAGTGTTTGTCATGTTTGTGTGTCATTGTGCCCCACATGATTATGTAGCAGGAGTTAAGTCATCTACGGGTGTCGATATGTTTTAACTGTTGATAATAATACTTTTATCATCCAAAACTGGCTCCCAAAGGAGATATTGTTTGGGTGAGATCAAGCGATATCTATATTGTAGATATCGCTGCAATAAAATGTGCAGACCATTGTGATATCATTGGTTAATGGTTATCATGACGTCACAATCAAATGACATCAGTAATGGCTCTCCTACTGAGGCTGTTAGCAGTACTTTTTCACGCCATGATATGAGTGTATTCCCTTTGTTTTAGTAAACCTAGACATGTAAACACTCACTTTTGACATATCCACTGTGCAAGACATTTTCTGTTAATCCTTTGATGACTAGGAACGATCTGTTGATTTACAAAAATGTAAATCAACTGATTATTCATCTCTTGCTGGGCTGTCACGTGCATATTACATAACACACATTTCACCTCACTTTAAACCTTGATTTAGATTGAATAATTACCCCAGACACAATAGATGCCAAATGGGAACCTTTGTCATGTATTCAGAGTGGTGCTACCGCTAATTATACCTGTAATAAATTCATTAACTGAGCATCAAGTGAATGACGACAAATACACAAGTGTAGGGTTATACCAGAAAACGTGGATGACAACAAGGGAGTAGTAATCGTATTATTGATGCAATCCAAAATCCGAAAATGCTTTCACTGCATGGATACTTTTTTTATTATTAAACTTTAACAATCAGGGGTATTTCCAAATGACGACATCCGATAAGCTCTGCCGTTCTTTTTGTCTGTTTGTTTAGGCTGAAGAAATTAATAAACATCCACCCTTTGTCGAAATCTTTCTAGATCATGGTTAACCAATCCGGGTTCAAAAATGAGTAAAACAAATATTGTCCCAAGTTTATTTTGCTGTCCTTGCAGACGATAGCCCAGTCTCTTGTCACGCTCAGTTGCGTTGCGTTGCGTATCATCCGGGTACTCATGGGGGGAAAAACAATAACAAAGGCAACAACCAGTCCCGGGGAATTACTATAGATCAGTGCCCCTTTAACATGTTTAAGACACTGCTTATTACTGTCTACAAACTGAAAAAGTTATGATAAATCAAATTTCACCCTTGTCTCCTGATATAAAATATATCATCACTCATATATATATTTGATATCAAAAGACACTTGGGTGAGATTCTCTATGTATTGATACTAGATTTATAATTCACCCTCACAGAAACATCAACATTTAATAATATTACCATGCTAAAGATGGACAGTGAGAAGGCCAGTGTTCAGAAGGCAGAGAATTCACTTTATATTTTGTGATGGATAATCTTAGTTCATAAGATAGCATTAAATTGGTTAATTGCAGGTGTACAAAGTTAATTTTTATCAGTGCACATACAGAATATGAATTGTATGTTGTGGTACTTTTGAGTCGATACCGATGCTAAAGTTGCCTAGCAATGACACCCCTAGGCCATGTAGACATGCAAGACTCATCCCATGGATGACATCCTTATCTTGTCAGCCTTTATGGTCATGTGGAGAAGGCATTCAACCTCAGATGAGAAGGTCCAGGGTTCGAATCCCAACACTGGACTCAAACATCTTATCACTTACTACCACTACCAGCCTTCAAAATTCCTGCTAGTCTGCCTGCCAGAGCCTACGAAATTGTGCTGTGCACAAGTAAAAATTCAGTTACATAGTAAACATTTCTGTCTTGTTCAAGCAGGACTAGCTACGAACTCTAGAGGACCAGTGAAATAAGGTTTACACCATGTACACTAGTCTCAAAATTCAAAATCAAAGGCTGTATTACAACAACTTGTTAGCCTGGTGCAGTCTTGATCATGTACAGACCACTGATCATCCTGATATTCCAAGAATATTGCTGACTGTGGCAGTAAATACTCACTCTCTCACTCTGCCATAACACAGAAAGTAAAACAGCCATGATGAATTGTAGTGGAGACATTACATTGCTAGTATTAGTAACATCTATTTTTAGTAGTGTCAAATTGTTTAAGCTAGAGACAAATGGAGTTGGGCCATTTCCCGTTAATTTAGAAAATGTTTATGGGACATTCTTCTATATCATTACTAAATTTGGCCAAAAATGTTTGAGGACTTAAGTGATATTTGAATGAGAACCAATGTCCTTGAAAACAAAATCTGTGAAGCGCTGCAGAATCATGTTCCGTAAACTTTTCCTTACCAGCCTGATTGTGCTTTTTTTTTTTTCTTTGAACAAACTTAACACCATTGTGATACAAATGCATTATGCAGCTAATGTATTATTAAATTAATATGATATTTGATACGCCAATGCACTGGCGAGTCTTTCAAAAGTATAGTTTGCAAGAAACATTACCTACCAATGTCTCAAGTACAGTAATTATTTCATTGTGTTTTACCATAATTGATGTTACCTTTCCAGAGCTTAAAATCAAAGGGCTTTGTGCGAGAACAGTTTGCATGGCGCCACTTCTACTGGTACTTGACTAATGAAGGTATCCAGTATCTGAGGGATTTCCTTCACCTGCCAGCCGAGATCGTCCCTGCCACACTGAAACGCCAGACCCGACCAGAGACGGCAAGACCTAGGCCAAAGGGTATGTTATTTAGTTACAAATGCTTGTTCATGCTTAGCATGCTCAGTAGACTGCCTCCGTGATCTAGTGGTTAGAGCATCTGCCTGGAGAGTGTAAGGTCGGTGGTTCGTTCACTGGCTATGTTATACCAAAAGACAGTAAAAGATGGTACTTGTTCTGACCCTCCCTGGTGCTCGGCATTTAGGGAATAATACAAGAACAGATTGACGCAGTCAGTATATTTTCTATCCAACACAAAATGTTGTAACAAAGATATAGATTTATGAATATGAATTCTTAGACCTAGAAGGATCCTGTGTTGTGAATCCACTCAGCCTCCATCTTCCAGTGTATCAGGGCTCCCTTTCTATTTTGATAAATACCATGGACCCCTTTGCTACAATAGTTTTGAGTCTATTTTTACGCTATATTAACCATCAGCACATTTATCACTTGTGGACAAAGTTATTGATAATATAGATGGAAGTTGTGACATCACTTCCCAAAGAAAGGTATATGAGCAATTATGATTTTTTGCACTTGATCATCAAGGATTTTTTTGTCAGCTTTTATATCTGGTTAGTAACTTTGCTTGAAAATGTTGAACAGAAATTTATTTATTTTAAGGTTTATTGCCTAAACAGGTTTTTGGTAAGATTTGCCTCACTGTTAGTAATAGTAGCAGTAGTTATTTCTTGGTGTCAGCTCTGTTACTTCCTGGTATCAGCATCATTGAATGAATTTGTGTTTCAGCTGCTGAGCCAGGCGGCCGACCCGGGATGGACCGCGACAGGCAGGAGTACAGAAAGGCAGGCCCACCCGGCGCCGGAGACAAGAAGTCAGATGTTGGCGCCGGTGCCACGCAGGAGTTCCAGTTCAGAGGTGGCTTCGGTCGCGGTCGGGGTGGTCCACCAAGGGAATAGACACTTGTACATGTAATAAACTTCTGGTGGGAATTTTCTTGTCAGTTGTGATTTGACCTACAGCAGGGAAGCTGACAAGGTTGTTTGGAGATAACCGTCTTCTTCTGGTGTTGCACATTGGTCATGATTTCAAGATTTATCATCTGTTCGCTGCAGTGATTTCAATTTTCTGGAATATTTTGTAGTCCGTCAGTTTAACTTTTGTGACACCTGTTTTTTTAATTATCCTCAAATTCATGTAATCACATTTACACACATCAAAATGTTTGCCTGTGCCTTAACAGAAACCAATTTTTAGGATTTTCTTGTTTCTACATGTTTGAGAGGGACTTTGCATGCCAGGATCTGCCCAGATTATGATCCTTGGTCCGTCTGCTCCACAACCATGGGTTTCACCCTAGTGATTAAGGTGTATGACCCATTAACTTCGGGATCCCCCTCACATTATGCTGACGTGCACGGCTATAACTGAACTGTAGCTGTAGCTGTAGCTGAACAAACTATCTAATCTTGAATACAAACAATGAGTGGTTGTAAAACTTTCCTTTTATTAAATAAAAGCTGCTCTTCAGCACATGACCAAGGCTAGGTCTTGGCGACTCGTACATTAATTCACAACATTACTGATAGAATTCAAGAGTTAATGAACTTAAAACAATTCTAACATTAACTCGGCTACGCAACCTTGAAATAAAGCACCATGGCCCCAATCCACCAAGCAATCTTGGCACAAAGGTGATCGGCACCCCAGTTCTTTAACATAGGCTTATCATCATCAGCGCTAAGATTGCTTTGTGGAACGAGACCCATGTGATTAGGGATTAATAAGTAGTTTAGTTCATGCATTTTTGAAAGCAGGGGCTTGATTTGGTTATTTGAATTTTCTAGAGCTTTATATAATGCCCAGTACAAAATTAGTGAGTTGCCTTTATATTTATGTCATAAATAGTTTACATGGAAGTTTAACATGAAACAAACAGAAAATGCCTTAAATCAGTTGGTCATAATCAATGTATTCTGACTGATGTTCATTAACATGGCATAACAAATTCATTACTTCCTCTGACTTCATAATCACTGTCATTAAGTTTGATAATTATCTTCTATGTGTAGTATGTTCCAATTCCATGCCATACATTGTCTACATTATACATAAATAACATATGAACATACTATTTTCTTCACAACATCCATACAAGAATAAATATAATTGTTTTTACCCACAGGATTTAAACATCTGGAAATCTCCTTCATTGCATATATAAAGAGAATACATTTATAACACTTATCCACACATTGGTGTAAAATAATTTAAACACTTCCATGAAACCAATGGCGTGCCATAATAACCCTTTTCATATTAACAGAAAAATATTTCACAATCTTTTTCATGTAAACAAGATAAGATAAAAAAGTTCAGATGATATAATGGAAACATACTCCAAGGCCTATTTGTATCGCTGTATTGAGATCAGATCTACATGCGACAACATTCTCGTGCACATGAATTAGAGTATATATCAGATCTGTGGTTGCACCACATACGACTAATGTCAACAAACAGTTTGATCATAGTCTTTTCCTATGCAGATGTACACGTAAGTAACAGTTAAGCACCATCCAGGCCCCTGACAACCATGACCAGGGTTGTTCAGAAATTCACACAGCCACACACTGACAGCCACACAAATGCCAGCATGTACATTGACATCCCAGTAACAGAGGACAAGTATCAGTACTTTGTCGGGTTGTAAAGGTGGGTACTGAGAACTAAGGGCGAGGCAAAGGCAAGCTCTATACTCTCACCTGTTCCCTTATCAGGGCAGACTTCCTTTTTTTTAGGTTTACAGATGTGGGGCCCACAAATTTAGATAGGTAGGTTGAAGAAATATAAAACCCAATTCCATTTCTTTTTGGTGTTTTCCTAAATTGTAAAGTAGGTAGGGGCAAAAAGGTTGGGGAGGGAGGAAAAGGACAAAAACAACATGTCCTGGCTGGATGCTGTTGTCAGTACATGGTTTTTTTCACATAGCTGTTTTTGGGGTCAACGAATCCGTAGACCAAGGTTTTAAAAAAGTCTGGTCTCAGATATCATTGTACTTTTGTCAAACACCCATAGGACCAGAGCTTTTCGCTGCACAAAGAGTCCATAGAATATAGTCGTATCATTCAGTTCACAATCCTGTAATGCCAAACACCATTCTATACCTAATGTCGGCAGTCCCATTCCTTGTGTAATACTCCTCATAGCACCAAATATCAACATAAAATTGGTGGTTCCTGACACTGTTTATATTTTATTTTTTAAGATCACACATTTGTCTGAAAATATAATAGGTAGAATTGGACCATGGCCATCCACATGAATAGACCAGATGCATGAGCAGAGAAATATGAACACCCAGCGTCTCCATGTAATCTCACACCACTACGACCATGCATAAGACATGTGCTGCCATAAGTACACATTCCTTGTGTAACAGTTGCTTTGAATCACAGATAGAGGAATAAACTTAAAGAAATGAAAATAAAGATCACTCTGAGCAATTTGAACACACGACATCGGGTTCATGCAGGCATGGAACATGTTGTTTCATTAATGTAGTACAAAACAAATCTGTAATTAGAAGTCTTGCATTGTGATGAACAAATGATATTTTCATGAACAATTAGAAACTAAACATTTGCTTTGAAAATTTGTTTCTTCCTTTTCGTACACTGATACTCTGAAAAAGGTAGAGCTTCTTACAACAGTGTCACGTCCATCCTTTTGGACGATGGGATTTCCCTTCAGACTAGTTTCAGAACAATAATGTATTTGAATTAAATTCAGTTGTTAAGATTCAAATTTTGTCATAATAAAAGCATCAATTCTGATAGCCAACCATATGTGTCTATTATGATCAAATGTAAAGAGAGGCTGCAATTTCTTTTAACGGTAGATTGATTTCCATATAACTTTGACAAATACTGATGGACTTAAACTGATTCAGTGCATTTCATTAAACATTATGTCCACAGTAATGATATCCAAGAAACATTACATACAGCACTTAACAATATATAAATAAATTTCATTTACACCAATCATGCCAATGAATATCACTCAAACTTTAATAAATGCATTCAGAATGGTTATCTGAACCACGGTCAAGCTGTTCTAAATGTAGACCTTTTTCATTGAAAATTCTACTTGTTTTCATGGATGCCTGCATGAACCATGTGACAGTATGCCTGGAATGAAAGAAGTGATAAAGACGGGAAGGTATAAAAATCTGCAAAGCCATCCCCTGCCTGTAACAATGTCTTCAAATACACTGTTGGAACATTGTTAGAAATAAAATCAGCCAACAATGAAATACATCAACATTAATTCAAACATATACAAAATGCTTCTCTCAATGTCTAGTTTAAACTGTGCTTATGTGATATATGACATATCATAAAAGGAATAGTGAAATATATTTTTCCATCGCTCAAAATATACATTTAAAATCAGTTATTGAAATATACATATGCATGTACTTGAGATTACCCCAGGGTATCATCAGGGTCACCAAGGTGCTCCTGTAAAAGTTCAGCTCGGAGTGTATACAGCATAGCACCTATATATGGACATTGAACAGAAGCACCCGAGTTTAATATATCTATGTAGTAGGTAGCTGTATACAGACAAGTAGCTCTCAGTGCTTAGGCAAGCAGGTATATACCTTTGAAAATACTGTACAATTTGTTTGGGTAAATATATACTGCCAAACAAAACCTTTAAAAATACAAGTATCTTAAACTTTGACTCGTGATTTATAACGTGGAGACTTCAAACATAAGGCTGAAAGGCACAGAAAGCCACACATACAATATAATAGAATCTCAGATTAGAACTTGGCTGCAAACAGATCTTGTGAACATTTTGAGATTATGTTTTCATATACACCAGTAAGTGAACATGAGTTGTGGAGGGAAGTTGATATGTCAAGATAATACACTACATTCCTCAATCACCTGTCAATACATAAGGCTCTTTGCAGTGTAGTCACTATTTTTAGCCCCGTGAAGATCCGGGGTAGAAAAGGTCTTCAGCAACCCATGCTTGCCGCAAGAGGCGACAACTAGGCTTATCATAAGAGGCGACGATCAGGTGGTCAGGCTCGCTGACCTGATGGATGCATGTCATTGTATACCAACTGCGTGGATCGATGCTCGTGACATCAATCACTGGATTGTCTGGTTCAGACTCGAATATTTACAGACTGCCATCACATAGTTGGAATATTGCCGGGTCTGGCGTTAAACAACAAACAAACAAACAATATTTTTAACCAACCAATCAAGCGTCAGCCTGGTTCAAGCAAGAAAGAATATGAGTGCTCTGACCAAGGAGTGCTCAGATTACATCTGCGATATCTCCTGTACCATGGTCCTGCTGCCTCCACACATTGCTTCAATATCAGGCAACAGTAGGTTCCCACAATATTCACACACAAAGCTGGGCTCATTTCACTTCCATGAGTGAAAGACCGCCCCCGTGGTCGAGGGGTAGAGCCTCCGCCCAGAGAGCGGAAGGTCCGGGGTTCGACCCCCACCCGCATCATACCAAAAGAGGTTAAAAGAAGGTACTTGTTGTTACCCTGCCTGGCACTCAGCATTAAGGGGCTAAAACAAGGACTGGTCGGCTTGGAGTCCATATACTGTGTCAGAGTGGGGTATTCATGTTAAACTGCAGCATGGTATCTCAGTGGTCTAGCACTATAAAATCGGCATTATTCCGATGGTACACAACACATGCACATGCACACCTCACTATATAAGTGCAATAATCTTGGGCGCGACTTTTCACCTTACCCCACTTCCATGAGTTATACACTGCCCCCTTTTTGCAGCTGAATGAACATAACATAGTGGCCGTATGTATTCAGGGGTGATGGAGGAATAGGGGTGAAGTATTGAATAGGACAAAAATTGTGATATCAGTATTAAGTCAGTAAAAAGTATATGATATAGACACAAAGTGAGTGGTTTTGACACCAAGCTCAGAAACAACACAGGTTCCAACAAAACAATATTTGTAAAGAATCAATAAAAAATAAAACAAGATTTTAAAAGTTTAAAATAAGAAACTCAATTTAAGACAAAATGGGTGATTTCGCAACAAAGTAAATCCTTTATGGAAAGCAGTATATAACCTGGCAGCATCAATAAGAAATAATAAACACATGAACACAAGGAAATTGTTTTAACAAATATGAGAACATAAAATACACAACCAATGACTATGAAATCAACACTGGGAACAGGACAAAATAATTATAAACCTACAAAACTGACGTTCACGTAATGAGCGTGTATCTGACACTCAACTTTTACTTTTCAGGATTTCATAGCAATTCCTGAGTACCGGTATACCGTTAAGACAAAGTAACAATTAATCATCAAATTTACATCATAATGACTTCGAAATATTGAATAAGAGCAATCCAGCAATCACTGAGTTGAACATCTGGCTACATGAAAGACAAAGAGTTTCCTTAAGTCTTCACTAATACAATATTGTGCATTTATTTCAGGAAGAAAATGGATCATAAAGATACAAATATTTTCACAAGTCATAATTTGACAAAGAGTATTCAAAATTTAAAAGCTACCATTATTTTGGTATGAGAAGATCGGAAGGCTATTCCTGATTATTTTTCATTACGTACAGTTTAGGGTACAAGTTATTCAAGAAGGAAATGCTGCCAATGTCAGTGCATGCAGGCACACCCCATAGCCCTGGGCTCAGTCCCATCAAACCTTGAGGCACTGGGAAGTGGCCAAGAGGTGTCATGTGGTTGTGGCTATCCTAAGGCCTTATATTATTTTAGTTGGTTTACGAAATTGACCAACGAAACAAACCTGAAATTAGTAGAAAAGACACTTTTGACCATTTTTGGGGGTCCAACTCTGTTTTACAATTAGGTGGAAAGAAAACACACACAAGATTTTTTCACTGCTGTTCAAAAGAAAGGGTGCGTTATATACGTTTAAAAAAATTAAAACTTTATTATGGTGTCTTGCCATGTTAAAACTTATTTGTTATTCAATCATCTGCAGTATTGATACAGAAGTTGAAATAAATCAAAACCACACATTTCGCCCACATACAATGAACTTTAGGCCAATTGTTTTGTTAACCAACTAAACCACCTAACCCTCTGTATTACACTGTTCATATTCTGACAACTGTACCATGTAGCAGCTTATTGCAATAATCATAATGCCCCTGCACTTCTCACCATTCACTCTCCCTGATATCATTGTTAGAATATATTGCCACAAGGTGCTGTTGCCCAATAGTCACTGACTCACTGACTCACTCCCCTATAAACTTCCCTTTGATGAACACAGTGTATTAAAGATATTTTTGTTCATCTATGCATTGCTCAGATCTTCTACCTCTTCATAACATGACAGATCTATGGTTACAATAATTTCATTAAAAAACCGATGCATAACAGTACAAAAGATAAAAGAAGCTATATGTAGATGACTAAAAATCTGTTTGCGATTGTGATGAAGCTTACTGCTGCAATCGTTACTGACCTTGAGGTGCTTCATAAGAAGCTTGTTCTACTAGATTCTGAAAGTGTGACAAGTCATACAGTCTTTCGATACAATAACTTGTCTTGGCAGCCTGATGAACAGAAAGACTAAGAGACCCATACAGTATGAAGGCAACAGCTACCGGGTATTGTTTTCAATAAGGAAGGGAGACTACTCTTGCAGGCAAGATAGCAATGTTAATACTCAACATGCACACATATTTAGCAATGTTTTCACTGAGAAAACATAGGGCAACAATTGATTTACAAGTTATGTTAGTGAAGCATGGTGCACACAATCCTGTCAGAGTATGGGTAAGTAAATCTCAGTGTAGAGCTTCCACTCCAAGCAGCTCCCCTGTGAGTTGCTGGTTCAGACAGAGCTGGGTTTGTGGACGAATCTTAGGACGAGGTAACCCAGCAGCCGGAACAAGCAGATGAAGAAAATGATCGGAAAGACATAGGTCCAGTAGGACGGCTGCACATCATAGAAGGACAAGACTTGGTAGTTGGTGACGGATGTTTCGTTAGTAGTCAGGCATGTTCTGAACTGGGAGGCCCCGCTGCTGGCTGCACATCTGGAACAGACAGATCATAATTATAACACTGAGCCGACACTTACTGTACATCAAGACACTTACTCTACACCATGAGACTTACTGTACATCACGACACTTACTGTACATCACGACACTTACTGTACATCACGACACTTACTGTACATCAAGACACTTACTCTACACCATGACACTTACTGTACATCACGACACTTACTCTACACCATGACACTTACTGTACACCAAGACACTTACTCTACACCATGACACTTACGCTTCATCATGACACTTACTCTACACCATGAGACTTACTCTTCATCACGACACTTACTGTACATCAAGACACTTACTCTACACCATGACACTTACTGTACATCACGACACTTACTCTACACCATGACACTTACTGTACATCAAGACACTTACTCTACACCATGACACTTACTCTTCATCATGACACTTACTCTACACCATGACACTTACTGTACATCACGACACTTACTGTACATCACGACACTTACTCTTCATCATGACACTTACTCTTCATCATGACACTTACTCTACACCATGACACTTACTGTACATCACGACACTTACTCTACACCATGACACTTACTGTACATCAAGACACTTACTGTACATCACGACACTTACTCTTCATCATGACACTTACTCTTCATCATGACACTTACTCTACACCATGACACTTACTGTACATCACGACACTTACTCTACACCATGACACTTACTGTACATCACGACACTTACTCTACACCATGACACTTACTCTACACCATGACACTTACTGTACATCACGACACTTACTGTACATCACGACACTTACTGTACATCACGACACTTACTCTACACCATGACACTTACTGTACATCACGACACTTACTCTACACCATGACACTTACTCTTCATCATGACACTTACTCTACACCATGACACTTACTCTACACCATGACACTTACTGTACATCACGACACTTACTGTACATCACGACACTTACTGTACATCACGACACTTACTGTACATCACGACACTTACTCTACAGTTTTATCCCCGGAGAACTCCAGCACCATGAGGCAGTGGAAGGTGTAGTGCAGGAAGGAGAAGTACTTGATCCAGTCCAACCAGAAGGGAAGATGGCGGGTATAGAAGCCACCTGGGGAGATTCAAGAAAAGTGAGTGAGTGAGTTTGGTTTTACGCTGCTTTTAGCAATATTCCAGAAATATCACGGCAGGGGGACACCAGAAATGGGCTTCACACATTGTTCCCATCTCGGGATTCCAACCCGGGTCTTCGGCGTGACAAGCGAACGCTTTAACCACTAGGCTACCCGACCGCCCCTCAAGAAAAGACAAGGTATTATCGTGTCCATTTGAAATGGAAAAATTGTTTAGTCATTGAAAACTTATAACTATTGTTAGGAAAGTCATGTTCAGCTAACTGACACGTTGTAAGATCTTAATCGGGATGGTATCAGGGTAAAAGATCTGATTGGCCTTCAAAGCCAGGTAAGAAGAGGAAGAGTCTACACCTACCAAGCAGCATAATGGCCATCATCACAAGGGTCGCGATAGACATAGCCTTCTGAAAGTCCATGAACACAATCCCCAGGAACAAACCAATACTCTGCAAAACAAACAATTAAAGCATCATATAATTACAAGTCATGTACAAAAACACAATAACAAAACGTGTGCATATTTTACACAAGAATTCTGCCCCTGCTTGGGTATTTTGTAAAAGATAATACAAATTAAGGGAAGATTAGTTACCATGGTGACAGTGTGTCACTTGTCTGATTTCGTGTCATCATGCCATACAGATAATACAGGTTTTCCTTCAATCTAATCTGTTAATCTGACGCATAATAGCTTGAGATGTATTCTGCCTTGGAATCCCCTATGATTACAGCCCTCAATGAATGGTCAAACCATTTCTCAGCCTATTCTGCTACATCCACTGGACACACTCAAACATGTCACCTTAAAGTGGGATAAAGCTGTAAGTGATGCAGGTCTTAATTGATTACCACTTTGGACTTACCCATGACCATGTGTAAGGTGCTGACAAAAGAACAAACATAATCAGGGGAAACAAGATTCAAACTCATGATCACAGGATTCTGATCCACTAAAGGGGCTTAACTCTGCACAGTAAGTGCAGTGCCTTAGATGACAGCACCATTCTTGCCATATGGTAGACCTACCTGGCCACAGATGGCACCCAGCATGACGGTGAAGATCGTCCCAAAGAAAGGCCCAGCACCATTGAGTCCAATGCACCAGTACGATATGATGATGAAGGCTGTGGGCAGGAGAAGGATGAGAGGCAGCTCGCTGGTCATCTTGGCAAAATAGTATGCCGAAAGCCGGTACCAGCCTGCAGAACGCTCCTTCTGGATTACAACCCTCTCAGTTGGGACTGTCAGACAAACAACACGAGATATACCTTCACACCCTCTCAGTGGGGACTGTCAGACAAACAACACGAGATATACCTTCACACCCTCTCAGTGGGGACTGTCAGACAAACAACACGAGATATACCTTCACACCCTCTCAGTTGGGACTGTCAGACAAACAACACGAGATATACCTTCACACCCTCTCAGTGGGGACTGTCAGACAAACAACACAAGATATACCTTCACACCATCTCAGTGGGGACTGTCAGACAAACAACACGAGATATACCTTCACACCCTCTCAGTGGGGACTGTCAGACAAACAACACGAGATATACCTTCACACCCTCTCAGTTGGGACTGTCAGACAAACAACACGAGATATACCTTCACACCCTCTCAGTGGGGACTGTCAGACAAACAACACGAGATATACCTTCACACCCTCTCAGTGGGGACTGTCAGACAAACAACACAAGATATACCTTCACACCCTCTCAGTGGGGACTGTCAGACAAACAACACGAGATATACCTTCACACCCTCTCAGTGGGGACTGTCAGACAAACAACACGAGATATACCTTCACACCCTCTCAGTGGGGACTGTCAGACAAACAACACGAGATATACCTTCACACCCTCTCAGTGGGGACTGTCAGACAACCAACATGAGATATACCTTCACACCATCTCAGTGGGGACTGTCAGACAACCAACACGAGATATACCTTCACACCCTCTCAGTGGGGACTGTCAGACAAACAACACGAGATATACCCTCACACCCTCTCAGTGGGGACTGTCAGACAAACAACACGAGATATACCTTCACATCCTCTCAGTGGGGACTGTCAGACAACCAACATGAGATATACCTTCACACCCTCTCAGTTGGGACTGTCAGACAAACAACATGAGATATACCTTCACACCCTCTCAGTGGGGACTGTCAGACAACCAACACGAGATATACCTTCACACCCTCTCAGTTGGGACTGTCAGACAAACAACACGAGATATACCTTCACACCATCTCAGTGGGGACTGTCAGACAAACAACACGAGATATACCTTCACACCATCTCAGTTGGGGCTGTCAGACAAACAACACGAGATATACCTTCACACCCTCTCAGTGGGGACTGTCAGACAAACAACATGAGATATACCTTCACACCCTCTCAGTGGGGGCTGTCAGACAAACAACACGAGATATACCTTCACACCCTCTCAGTGGGGGCTGTCAGACAAACAACACGAGATATACCTTCACACCCTCTCAGTTGGGGCTGTCAGACAAACAACACGAGATATACCTTCACACCCTCTCAGTGGGGACTGTCAGACAAACAACAGGAGATATACCTTCACACCCTCTCAGTCGGGACTGTCAGACAACCAACAAGAGATATACCTTCACACCCTCTCAGTGGGGACTGTCAGACAAACAACACGAGATATACCTTCACACCCTCTCAGTTGGGACTGTCAGACAAACAACATGAGATATACCTTCACACCCTCTCAGTTGGGACTGTCAGACAAACAACACGAGATATACCTTCACACCATCTCAGTGGGGACTGTCAGACAAACAACACGAGATATACCTTCACACCATCTCAGTGGGGACTGTCAGACAAACAACACGAGATATACCTTCACACCCTCTCAGTGGGGACTGTCAGACAAACAACACGAGATATACTCACACAATCATCAACATGATCAAACACAACACACATCAAATATGCTCACAAATCTCTTTGTGGAGGGACAAAGAACACGAGAAATATCTTGACCACTGTCCAACTGGTCAGGCAAACAACATGAAAAACAACTCACATGAAGATACAGCATCAAACAGCGGTGTGAAGCTCCAGTGAATTGCGATGAAAAATATCTGTAAAAAATATTTTTTGCTCATTATGAAGTATATGAAACATATATGTTGCAACTATCAGAACATAGTCTTCCTGCAAGATGGAATAAGAGGCCATGGATTTCCAATCACGCTGCTCATATCTTGATCAGACATCCTCCTGCTCCTTACACTCACTTCTGTGAGTGAGTGAGTGAGTGAGTATGTTTTACGCCGCTTTTAGCAATATTCCAGCGATATCACGGCAGGGGACACCAGAAGTGGGCTTCACACATTGTACCCATGTCGGGAATCGAACCCGGGTCTTCGGCGTGATGAGCAAACGCTTTAACCACTAGGCTACCCGACCGCCCCACTCACTTCTGTGACATCCTTCTACCACTTACAGCTGCATCCTCCTAACACTCACTGCTGACACCCTTCTACCACTTACAGCTGCATCCTCCTAACACTCACTGCTGACACCCTTCTACCACTTACAGCTGCATGCTCCTAACACTCACTGCTGACACCCTTCTACCACTTACAGCTGCATCCTCCTAACACTCACTGCTGACACCCTTCTACCACTTACAGCTGCATCCTCCTAACACTCACTGCTGACATCCTTCTACAACTTACACCTGCATCCTCCTAACACTCACTGCTGACATCCTTCTACAACTTACACCTGCATCCTCCTAACACTCACTGCTGACACCCTTCTACCACTTACAGCTGCATCCTCCTAACACTCACTGCTGACACCCTTCTACAACTTACAGCTGCATCCTCCTAACACTCACTGCTGACACCCTTCTACCACTTACCAGCTGCATCCTCCTAACACTCACTGCTGACACCCTTCTACCACTTACAGCTGCATCCTCCTAACACTCACTGCTGACATCCTTCTACCACTTACAGCTGCATCCTCCTAACACTCACTGCTGACATCCTTCTACCACTTACGGCTGCATCCTCCTAACACTCACTGCTGACATCCTTCTACCACTTACACCTGCATCCTCCTAACACTCACTGCTGACACCCTTCTACCACTTACAGCTGCATCCTCCTAACACTCACTGCTGACACCCTTCTACAACTTACGGCTGCATCCTCCTAACACTCACTGCTGACACCCTTCTACCACTTACAGCTGCATCCTCCTAACACTCACTGCTGACACCCTTCTACCACTTACAGCTGCATCCTCCTAACACTCACTGCTGACATCCTTCTACCACTTACACCTGCATCCTCCTAACACTCACTGCTGACATCCTTCTACAACTTACAGCTGCATCCTCCTAACACTCACTGCTGACATCCTTCTACCACTTACAGCTGCATCCTCCTAACACTCACTGCTGACACCCTTCTACCACTTACAGCTGCATCCTCCTAACTTTCACTGCTGACATCCTTCTACCACTTACACCTGCATCCTCCTAACACTCACTGCTGACATCCTTCTACAACTTACGGCTGCATCCTCCGAACACTCACTGCTGACATCCTTCTACCACTTACACCTGCATCCTCCTAACACTCACTGCTGACATCCTTCTACAACTTACGGCTGCATCCTCCTAACACTCACTGCTGACACCCTTCTACCACTTACACCTGCATCCTCCTAACACTCACTGCTGACATCCTTCTACCACTTACAGCTGCATGCTCCTAACACTCACTGCTGACACCCTTCTACCACTTACAGCTGCATCCTCCTAACACTCACTGCTGACACCCTTCTACCACTTACAGCTGCATCCTCCTAACACTCACTGCTGACACCCTTCTACCACTTACCAGCTGCATCCTCCTAACACTCACTGCTGACATCCTTCTACCACTTACACCTGCATCCTCCTTAACACTCACTGCTGACATCCTTCTACAACTTACACCTGCATCCTCCTAACACTCACTGCTGACATCCTTCTACCACTTACACCTGCATCCTCCTAACACTCACTGCTGACACCCTTCTACCACTTACAGCTGCATCCTCCTAACACTCACTGCTTACATCTTTCTACAACTTACGGCTGCATCCTTCAAACACTCACTGCTTACATCTTTCTAAGACTCACCGCTCCCATCCGATCTCTCAGCGTCTCTTCATTGCGAGGCAGCTGGAACCACAAGAGACTGACCAACACACACAGAAGCAATGCCTCCAGCAGACGCAGTTTGTTGAGGATCCGTGACTTGGAGTTCCTGAACGTGCGCACAGTGAGCTGTTTGAACTGCGTGAAGAACCCTGTTGGCCACTTGTCCTTATCCTCCTTGAGGTTGAGCATGTCCACACTGCCAGTCTCAGTAGCTGCGCAACAGAGTGAGTGAGTGAGTCAGTGAGTTGGGTTTAATGATGCTTGAGACAGTATTTCAGTTATATCACAGCATGTCAGCTTTGCAGGAAATCTTTAAAAGTCTCGGTGTCAATTAGAAAGAAAACATTTTCTGTATTCATGACTATTCTTAAAATCCAGTAGTTTTTCATAATTTAAGATTGAACGAGTCTTGAGTATAGTGCCCACTTTTTAAAAAAAAAAACCACAGCTGTGTAGAAGGGGGTGCGCATTATACACACAATAATGAGTTTTGATGTTTTTTTCCCCCAACAGAAAAACATTACAGTGAGCATGTAACACCGGAAATACCATGTCAACAAATCCATACTGAAGTTCACAATTTAATCATGTAATTACAGTCTGGCTATAAAAAAGAGTTCTATGTATATCTGGACTTATGTTTGTAACTTATTTCATCAATTTTATTCAAAATTCCTTTTAATATTGTTGTAATTAATTTTGGCGCAATCGTGTGTGAAGCGATCAGAAGATCGCACACCGTTATATTAACAGCAACCACGGTCAGATTACCGCTATTGACGATCTTGAAACGAACTTTAGTTGACAGAGAATGGATACATATATCATAAATGCCATACTTTGACTCCTTAAAAGTCATTTTTGTTATAGTTTGACGATTCTTTGTCAACACATAGTCCTTGCAATTATGGGCACAGGAAAAAATAATAACTGGCAATAGCGATCAGCTGCTTCACTTAGGGTTATTATTATTTTAAATTTGTTTAATAAAAGCTGCAACTAAATTAACAAGATATTGGAATATATTATTTCTGATAAAAAAATAGTTTCAGATACCATTTTTGCCGATCCTTGCATTAAAATCCTGTTAAGTTATATCATTGGTCGTGTCTTGACCGAATCACAGGTAGATTCCAAGAAAATGTGTGTACAGCTGATTGCTGTTTCCGGCTTACCATATTTTCTTGAGTATAGTGCGCACCCATATATAATGCGCACCCCCCGCTAGCAGATTCAGTATTTTGGAAAAAATATATCTGAATATCAAATGCAGAAAAAAATTACACCATACCCCTTCAGTGAAGTCCAGTAAACGAATGGATGATGAAAAACTTGGTCAGTACAAATTCAAAATTTGAGATAAAAAATCACCAGACATGTTGATTTACCATTTAAATTGTATTTTGTGTTCTGCTAGGCATTGCTTTACATCCATGGATTAAGATTACCTTGTGTATTTTCTGATTAACTAAGCCGGAAACAGCAATCAGCTGTACACACGTTTTCTTGGAATCTACCGATGATTCGGTCAAAACACCCAATGAGATATAACTTTACAGGATTTTAATGCAAGGATCGGCAAAAATGGTATCTGAAACTATTTTTTTATCAGAAATAATATATTCCAATATCTTGTTAATTTAGTTGCAGCTTTTACCAGCTATTGCCGGTTATTATTTTTCACATGGAACCAATCTGACAAGTCACCATCAAGGCTCCCTCGCACGTGCTCGCGTGATCGCGAGAATTACGTGTTGACATAGAATCATCAAACTTCAACAAATATGACTTTTAAGGAGTCAAAGTATGGCATTTATGATATATGTATGCATTCTCTGTCAACTAAAGTTCATTTCAAGGCGTCAATAGCGGTAATCTGACCGTGGTTGCTGTTAATAACGGTTAGTTGTGCGATCTTCCGATCGCTTAACACACGATTTCGCCGAAATTAATTACAACAATATTAAAAGGAATTTTGAATAAAATTGATGAAATAAGTTACAAACATAAGTCCAGATATACAAAGAACACTTTTTATAGCCAGACAGTGTAATTACATGATTAATTTGCATATTTTAGTATGGTATTTCCGGTGTTACGTGCTCACCGTAATGTCTTTCCATGGGGGAAAAAAACATCAAAACTCATTATTTTGTTTATAATGCGCACCCCCTTCTACACAGATGTGTTTTTTTTTTAAAAAGTGGGCACTATACTCAAGAAAATACGGTAGTTTAGGAGAAAATACACAAGGTAATCTTAATACCATGGATGTAAAACAATGCCTAGCAAGACAAAAAAAAACAATTTAAACGGTAAATCAACATGTCTGGTGATTTTTTATCTCAAATTTCAAATTTGTACTGACCAAGTTTCTCATCACATGTTCGTTTACCGGAGTTTGCTGAAGAGGTACGGTGTAATTGTTTCTGTGCAAAATATTTGATTTATTTTTTTCTAAAATACTGAATCCACTAGAGGGGGGTGCACATTATACTTGGGTGCGCACTATACTCAAGAAAATACGGTAATATTCCATTCATATCGCTGTAGCCCGCACACCAAGGATAGGATGAGAGATCCACATCATCAAGGTATGTTTACACATCATCAATCATCTAACCTGATCCTCATTTATGTCAGCTCTACAAGCTAGCAATACGTGGGATCTATTGTGCCCTAGGAACCAAACAGGGTTTGTTCATTTGTTGTTTAAGCAATATGGCAGCAATGTGATGGCTGACAATCCAGTGATTGTTGCACTGAGCAACACTCCACGCAGTCAGGCTACAATGACACCGAGCCTGACAACCTGATACACTAGCTGCCACTGACAACTAGCATAGGTACCTGTGGACCAATTTTAATTCTAATCCTGAATCCAACAGAGGACCTTGAAAGGCTGATGATAAGAGAGAGTGATAACACAAGAGCCAGTTGTTATACATAAACACCCATCCAAGATCTCCAACTGGTCCCAGTACAGCAACTCTGCTCATGAATAACTCATCATCTAACATGAACACTATCAATTTCACCTCTCAGGCAATTAGATCCTTTACCTTCAATATCAGGCTGAAATTTGGCATCAGTTTTTCGCAATCGCTTGCTGACCCTCTTGTAGATGGGGCTGTGTGTGAGATACTTGAGGCTAGGTTTGAATGATCGCCGGATGGTCAGAGGGGTGCGATCGTCAGCCATACCAGGATCAGTGTTCCCTCTCAGAACTAACGGCCAGTTGTCTGTTCCTCTGAAAACGTAATATTATCAAAGTCACATTTAAAATTACTCTAGGCACAGTCTTGGGTGTGAAGGAGGAATTAGCAGTGAGCAGTAATACTGACAGGTTGTAAATAATACAATGAACCATGCAAACCAATCATGGACTAAGCAAGTAGTGGTCAACGATGTCGTCTATCACTGCAAGCAGTCAGGAGGTGGCTGGAGCTGACCAGTCCTTGTTTTAGAAACTTAATGCTGAGCCCCAGGCAGGGTAACAACAAGTACCATCCATCTTTTAACGTCTTTAGATATGATGCGGCAGGGGATAGAACCCCAAACCTTTCCGCTCTCCTGGCAGACACTCTATCCACTTGACCTAGTCCTATTCAAGTACTGGTCAACCTAGGCTCCTATCAATGCATGCAGGCAGGAGATGGCTGGAACTGCCTCTAGTATATCATGGAATATTCAAGTAGTGGTCAACCTAGTCTATCACTGCATGCAGGCAGGGATTGGCTGGAACTGCCTCTACAGGTATATCATGGAATATTCAAGTAGTGGTCAACCCAGACGCATATTATGAAGATCCTGGTTAGAATAGGTCTTCGGAAATCCATGCTTCCCACAAAAGGCGACAATGCTTGTCGTAAGAGGCGACTAACGGGATTGGGTGGTCAGGCTCGCTGACTTGGTTGAGGCATGTCATCGTATCCCAATTGATTATTTACAGACCGCTGTCATATAGCTGGAATATTGCTGAGTGCGGCTTTAAACAAGAAATAAAAAAACATCCTATCACTGCATGCAGGCAGGAGGTGGCTGGAACAGCTTCTACACATAAAACATGTACCTGATGGCATCAGCTGCATCTACTATCTTCCTCCGAGTCTTCTCATCTTCTCGCAGCTTCTCCACTGCAAGTCAGAAAGCTCCATGTTAATTATGATGGGACACAATACATGTTTGATGATAACCTCGACAAAATGTACTTGGGGTGTCACAATTCATATATAAATTTATTACCCATACAGTTAGAAATATCCGTGTTCCTAAAAATGCTATGTGCACTAGGGCAAATATCGATTCATTTTCACTAACATATTATTTGCATCATCAGCATGGTTTTGTTGATCTTATTTCTGCATGTGGCGTGGCTAATAAGAGGTTGCTACATCAATACATCAGTGAAGCGTGACATCCCTGTTGTATACACATCATCATCTATCCCTTCATCACTTGGGAGAGTACAACAGAGTACAACAGTGTACAACAGTGTACAACAGTGTACAACAGTGTTACTACCCTGGAACACTCATTGCAGGACAAGTTACATTCATCAGTAGCAGGATGTACAGGACTACACAAGATGAGTGGACGTGCCCACCACGACACACAGTTAAAGTTGGTGTACACTAACAATCAGCTTGTAAAATCTTCCACATCCATGCACTGGCACATTTATTGTTAAAACCTATATCAATAACCTATACCTAGACATATTTTCAGGGAACTACTTGTGTGATAACATTCTATACAGTTTGTGAATGCCAGTGATGTTAACTGAAAATCCAAGGGTCAGCTGTGATAGCAGAAACAAGCAACATCACATCAAACTCTTGACCTCATCACGACCTCTTGATTCCTGTACAATCTGGCCACGAGACTTGCATTGGTTTATATGAGATAGTGACTAACCAATAAGAATGTATTTGTTTGTTTGTTGCTTAACGCCGCACTCAGCAATAATCCAGCTATATGACGGCGGTCTGTAAATAATCGGGTTTGGACCAGACAATCCAGTGATTGGTGTCATGAGCATCAATCCATGTATTTGGGATAGATGACAGGCATCAACCAAGTCAGCAAGCCTGACCACACCGATCCCGTTAGTCGCCTCTTACAACAAGTATAGTCGCCTCTTACTGCAAGAATGGGTTGCTGTAGACCTATTCTCACCCAGATCTTCACGGGTCAATAAGACTGTAATGATAATCATCCATCTATATTCATCCTCCTCATGGATCAACTATTTCAAACACTCTCACAGCCAATAAGATTGTATTGATCATCCAACTGTACTCCCCCTCCACACGGACCTACAAACAGTTTCACATAAGTATGAGACCCGTGAAGATCCGGGGTAGAATAGGTCTTCAGCAACCCATGCTAGTCGTAAGAGGCGACTAACGGAATCGGGTGGTCAGGCTCGCTGACTTGTTGATGAATATCATCGATCCCAATTGCGTGGATCGAAGCTCATGATGTCAATCCCTAGATTGTCCAGTCCAGACTTGATTGTTTACAGACCGCCATCATATCGCTGGAATATTGTTGAGTGCAGCGTTTAACAACAAACCAACAAACATAAGTATGACATGGAAGTGTTACTTCTTCTGCCCCATCTCACCTATAAAGTCTGCTGGGTTGTAGTGCTCTGCCATGGGCATACTGATGTCTTTGAAGAAGGTCAGCACATTTTCAGAGTCTCCAAAGTAGGCAAGCTACAAAACATAAGACAATTGATTGTGAAACCCAGATATGTAGTCAACAAAAATGTTAAATTTACGTTAATCAAAAGTTAATCTATAATCACACGTTTTGGCATTTACATTTTAATGACCAGAGGGCAAAAACAAAACAAAAATCACAATGATCTTAACAAACTATGGTTTCACATATTACTGGAAGAGGTGATGGTGATGTCAGTCTGGCAATCAATGGGTCCATGGCCCTGTTCCACAAAGTAATCTTAGTGCTAAGACAATCATAACTCCCATACTTTAACACAGACTTACGACAGTAGTAGCGCTAAGATCACTTTGTGGGACAGGGCCCTCGGTATTAGTCATAGCATGGAGAGAGGACAATACACTGGGTAATCGAGGAAGCAGTGACATGAAATCACCTCTCCCTCCGACATGAGCAGCAGCTTGTCAAACTGGTAGAACATCTGGCTGGAGGGCTGGTGCAGAGTGGTGATGACCATCTTGTTGCGCTCTGTTGTGTACTGCTTCAAGGTCTTCACCAGGCTCAGCGCGATGCTGTAGTCCAGCCCCGAGGTGGGCTCCTGCCACAAACAAGTGGAGATTCACAAAGGTACTGAGACTGGATTAAACATGTGTTCTCTTGCCTAACTATTACAACAGCATTACAGATGGATATTTATTGCACTACACTCAAAGGACTCATCCTGAAGACAATTCACTAGCCATGCTAACCCTGAAAACTGATTTAATGATTTCAATGTAAAAGATTTTCAATGCTTGGTCAGGTGGGATACAGCCACAAAAAAATTTTCAAACAAATTCTATTGCTAATTGCAATTGGCGCATATGATACAAATCTTGAGAACATGGGCCAACACTAAACATCTAGCAGCAACAGTCAACGTAACAACACCTTATGGTCTACATGGTGTACATTCCGAACATGGGCCAACACTAAACATCTAGCAGCAACAGTCAACGTAACAATACTGTATGACATAAGACTAAAATGATGCCATCTTATGGTTCTGTTTGCAGACAAAGCTAGAGCCACAAGGCTCAGTAGCTCACCTGCCTTGAGAGGAAAACTTGTTGCCTTGTTTAATTTCAGTTTGGAAATCTTTGAGCAGTGTTTACAGACACCTAAGTTGGGATTATTAAACACAGTTTAAGCTTCAACAGTATTATAAGAAAAACAGGGGTATACGAAGGTGACATGATCGCAGCTTCATCAAAATATGCCAAAAGTCGTATTATATTATTTCACATACCATACAGTTGCTATGTATCAAATTGGCAGTGGGAAGAAATGACATTTAACATTGGATTGAAATTCTCCATACACTTTTTATAGACATCATGGCTAGGATTATCAAAATAAAGTTTCAGATCCAGAATAAATTTCAAAACATACAAGTTAACGATGGATAGGCAACCAGACCGACAAGTGGATGGACAACTAGACGACGAAAATGTGCAACGACATAAGCTTGCTTGACTTCCAGTCAGGTGACTGAATGGTCCATATACTCACATCTAGAAGGATTATAGCTGGATCTGTAATAAGTTCACAGGCAATGTTCGCTCTTTTCTTCTCTCCCCCTGACAAGCCACGCACCAGAGCATCACCAATAACTGCAATGAATGAAGTTTTTCCCATGTAATGTCATTATTTAGTCACGTTTATTGTTGTCTGTTTGTTTCATGCCACAGTGTTGTTTCATGCTATTGTAACTTTGTATTCAGTCTTTCCAGATGAATACAGATGACAGATGAAAGCGGTAAATGTATAATTATTCTAATGTTCAGACTTCCCCAAGGATTGACAACTATATAGACATGTCTTTTTTAGTCATGAAATGGGGGCAGTGCCTTAGCCTAGTGATTAAAGCATTTGCCCATCACGCCGATGAGCCGTGTTCGATGGGTACAATGTATCAAACCCATGTCTGGTGTCCCTTCCATGATATTGCTGGACTATTGCTAAAAGCGTCATAAAACCATATTCACTCCCTCACTCATGAAATGGTCTGAATCTAAGTAAAGTCCTTGCATTGATTGTGAAGTTAACAGCTCTAGACTACAGTTAGTATCTAAAAGAAAACATCTGATTCTTCTGAATTCTAATTGATTTTAAAAAAAATGTCCATTCAGCTAGTGAATACTTTAGCAATTTATAGTTAAATGTTTACAAGCTGTCAGGAATGGCCAGACTTAAATCCACCTTTGTCATATCTAAGGATGGATAGCCAGCAATGAACCGGAAGACTGAAGTCATCCGTGTTGTGTTTTTTTTAGCTTCAAATGTTTTCATGTTTGTTTATTATTTAACGCTGCAGTCACCAATATTCCAGCAGTCTGTAAATAATCGAGTCTGGACTAGACAATCCTGTGAGTGATATCATGAGCACCAACCCACGCAAGGGGGTTACCATGACATGCATCAAGCAAGTCAGCAAGCCTGACCACCCAATCCTGTTAGTTGCTTCTTATGACAAGCATGGGTTGCTGAAGACCAATTCTAACCTGGATCTTCACGGGTCTCTTCCATGTTTGTGTATGTATGTGAGTGAAAGGTGTCCCAGAATGTATTCTCTGACATTTTACATGAAAGTACTTGTTATAAATCTTTATGCAAGCCACCTATGTCCAAATACGTACTCTGTGCTCAATGGATGACGTCACTATATGTACTGTCAAGTGTAGAGGCCTAAATGATTACAAGAAAAGAAAAGATGTCTTCAATTTTCTGAGGTCTGAGATATATTACATTTACTTCTTGTAAGATACATATTTTTTAAAAACCCAAACAGAATGACTACTTTATCTGAACTGAATGGGGATCTGAAGTACTATTCAACAGAACAATAGCCAGTCAAAAAGTACACAACATTCTTTTTTCTGACAAGAAAACAGCATTATCACTATCCCCTGCTGTTAGAATTTTGTAGTGAATATATACTATAAAAAAGTGTCCTAGAAAGACTTATGAATAGATAGGCACAAGGGTAGCTTTATGTTATAAGAAAAATATAAAGTGTGAAATAAATACACACAAAAGGCCCCTTCCCTGGAAAAATAACTGAGTCTTGATAAGTATCTCTTAGATAAGCTAACTTAAGTAGTTTCTGCCACAATGCACTTTGTTAAATAGCATGGATCAAACATCAGAACTGTATATGCTCAAAATCTTAAAACAAGTAGCAAGTGAAGTAACTTTGTGGGAAAATATAACGTACAGCACCAATTTTCGAACTGTCTTGACAAGTATCTCTTTGATAAGCATGCAAACTTTCAATAATGTACCTTCAATTGTTTCCATTTCACACAGTATGCACTAAGTTGAAAAGCACAGAGAAAGGGACAGAACTCTATAAAAAATGAACTTAAGACACCAGTTTCGAACCGAATTAAGATCATGACCAGTAATATCATTGTGTAAAATTTCATTTCTCTAATTTAAATAGTTTTTGAGAACATTTGTCCCTTGTGAGAAGCAAAGGGAAGGAAGGACTGACGACACCATTCCTATGGCCCCTGATCCACTTCGTGGCAGGAGATAATGATATTGACTATAAGACACATAATAGTTTCACAGATGATAATGTAAATCTCAGATCTTGGGCATAACAGCTTCTGAAAAAAATAATCTCTCTTGTTAATTTGTATGGCCCCAAACAAATATTTTATGCAATGATCATCAATAAAATAAAAATGTTTGGTAAAATACACATGTTTTAAAAAAAAGCAGGGGATTTTAATCTTTCTTTACACCAATCTAGGGATACTTTTAATTATCAGCATGTTAACAATCCCAAGGCCAGAAAGCAAATGACTGATTTGAAAGGGGAACTTGATCATTAAAAGAACTTATCTTTTACCATGTTTACAAAAACGACATCAACATTGGTAATGAGAATATCTTTTTGAGGTGTCAGCCACGTAGAAGCGTCGGCCAAGTACGGGACTTTATTAACCCTGAAGGAAACTATCTAAGGCTGGAGCAATTCCAATACACTTTTGAACTTGATGTCAACTTCCTTCCTTTATCACAATCTAATCAACGCTATAAACAAATACCATGATAATAATCAAGAAGAATGATAGAGTCCCCATGCACCTGAAAGATTAAATTTTTAACTTACATTTTTGTCATTTTTGACTGTCTACTAAATGAATTTTGATGTTCCCAAGGTGAAATATTGTATCATGGTACCCATATTGAATTTCTGATAAATTCTATAATCAACATCACTTTCAAACTTTTGAACTTTTGAACAATGCATACAAACATATGATACCATTTTTGGGTGTAATTTGAGCAGAAGAAAGCAGCTCAAAGCGTCAAAATATTATTTAAACAAGATGGGTATTAAAACCCGACAAACTTGAAAACGTCAGTATTCATTGTATTTTACTTGCAAATTACTACATACATACAAAACAAATGTGTATGACTTCCATGGAGATTAATGGCTATTCGCACGAATAGCAAACTAGTTTCAATAAGTCACAAAATAACACTAAATTGCCTGTGTGAAAGGACGAGCTACACAAGTTGTTTCCAGTTTTGCACTCATAAGAGTTTATGTGATGGGTTCATTCTCAGTCAGAACTTTAAATTTGTTTCCACATATTTTTCAGTGACTGCCCACTTCAAACAAAAGAACTCTAGCTTGTGTGTAACAGGTGGTGAAATTAGTCTGGTACTTAACTCACAAAAAGACTGTTCCTGCTCTGGCCCTTCATACCCATCCTGAGTCTTACTTTTCCGTTTTCTCTTTCATAAGGGATTAGGTAGAAGTTTATTCAAAGGCAAACTAGCAACAAAATGTCAATAGCAACCAGCAAGCCTAAACATTGCCTTACTGTATTTTATTTTTACTTTTCTGAAACTATATGCCCTACATAGCAGACTTTCCTTTGGAAGACATTACACTTATTCAGTGTTAACTTAACTTGAGATTATAGTCCCTAAGATGTTGGAAAAAATGTATGTGTTACCCAGGCTGTTGAATTTCACTGATCCATGTTCCATTATGACCTAGATGAGACTGTCCTCTTTCTTGTAATAACATTGTTCTATTCATAATTAATGTTTATGCAATTGTACATGCTTACTGAATCTTTGCAGCATTTACCCCTTCAATATACAGACTTTACTTATGTTGTCCGTGGAAATTTCAGAGCCCACAAGCCCAAACTGTATATTTAGCTTCATTTTAAGTACCGGTATATATTTTCCTTCATATCTTGATAATGACCACAGTGTACCTAGATGTACAGAATTGTACATGACGACAGATTAGTGGCTGCCCACATGCGTGCACCTAGGGAAAACGACTTGATATTCCTTACTGAGATTTGTTTCAGTCAACATTAAAATATAAGCCAAAACTGAACTTGAGACAAAACTGGCAAAGAAAACAAAAGCTAACTTCCTGTATAAGCGTAGCACAAAATTCAGAAAACATTTTGAGTTTGTTAGCCAAACCAAATGAAAACATGTCTCCATTCATTGACATGACTGCATGCTGCATCTCACCCCCCACCCCAACACTGTATGTATTTGTCCTGACCCTGCTCCTGTCAGGTGTTCGTGTGACCCTACCCTGATTCTCTGGCCCACTCTATGACAAACAACAATTTGTTCAAGCATGTCAGCTCATTCTAAAACGAAAGTACAAAATCTGTCAGTGTCAGGTTCCTTTCACATACCATCACCAAGTGATTGCATTTTCCTGGAATAATTCAGATGACATGAAACATGCTCTTCCAAGAAACTATGAGTCAGCATCGTGTGTGCAGAACTTACCCTTAATAAGGACCTGTAATCAACTGACGCATAATAACACAGCAGGTTGGAGGAGTATTTCTCACGACTTTTACTGAAGTACGTGATGGACCAACAACTACATTCTGACCTCTCTCATCCCATCATACGATTGTAATTAACACTGAGACACATGTGTACAATAAACAGAAAAGGGACAAACGTGTGGTTGAAAGGTGACTACATTTGATGTGTCAGACAGATTTTGTACTTGATACAGTCAATCAATATGCCAGAAAAGAATTTCTTGAACCACCATTGTGTCATCTTTTACATTTGCGTCATATGCAAAATATTTTCCAACACAGAAAACAACTGACTGCTGAACAAGCTGAAACCAAAACTTTCTACAAAAAAAAAACTGGTACATTATCAATTGTTTGATAGGCATTACTTAGAGGTTGACGGATGACAAAGTAGACATAATTTATGGATAACAACTTCTTCAACACTGTAAAGGCAACGTATCGGTATAGATCCTTATGCCATTGTCAAGCAAGGTACATTTGTACATTGTGGCACATTATCATACACTCCCAGTCCCAGTTATCAAGCTCAAACTTGCAGCGCTGATGTCATTTTTCCTTGTCAACTTCCCCTTCCCACAAGACCTCTGATATCCGGATCACATCATATTTGCAACAGCCAATCAAAAGTTGCCACATTTCATACCTCTGCAATGTGCTACATTTCTATTGGCTGCCCTTCCTACCGTGTGCAAGAAGGGTGATATATAGGTCAGCTGCACTCTGGAACATTCTCTCAACACGTCCAGCAACAATAAGCCTTACGGGGGAAAGTTTTCACGTCAACATTATTGTTTGTGGCAATGGCGATGGCAGGTGAACCTGAAAACTACTTAAAAGACCTTAAAGCAATGTATGACAGGTGTCTGGAAACACCGCTTAAATGTACATACATTGCCAGAAGAGAACTTAAGGCAACTCAAACTCAATATGAAGTGTTTGAAGTGAATAAGGATGAAGGGACTGCAGAAACATACCAACTTCTTTTGGACATTGAAGACTCAACTGATAAGGCCAGTGAGATCAAAGTTTGGAAGGGAATAACATGTAATGCACATCAAGATGAAGGAGGCGATCGGCGACTTAGGGTGTGGTTAAAAACAGTCACACCGAGCATGCCAGATGTAAAGGATCCTCTATCGCCAAATGATAGCTGGACAGTAACTTTAAAAAAAGTTTATATTCACCAAATGGATCGTAGTAAAACAGGGTACACTCATAGAAGTGTAATTGAAGGTGAATACATGGGCTAGATGGATGTGATATCTCTGTGAAATAGTCAGTGTTCAGACTGTCCATGTCTGATTTCCTTCACTCACAAATTAACTTTACAGCTTCACAGCTTCACAACTTCACAGCTTCACTTGACATTGACAGCCAACACCAAGGTACAACTGCTGGAAGGAAGCCATAGATGCTCAAGATATTGTGATTGAGTTACTTCCCCTAGACCATGCTGGGACTGTTGCAGCCACTTCCAGATTCCAGTAGTTTACTCCCGTCAAAGTTCAGAAATTACCAAGGTAGAACATTATCATATCAAGTTGTGGGAACACTATCAAGTTGTGAGGACATTACCATATCAAGCTGTGAGCACATTATCAAGTTGTAAGGACATTGTCATATCAAGTTGGGAGAACACTATTATACTAAGTTGTAAGAACATTATTAATCTCAAATACCAGTCACAACTGGTGCATGACAGTACTTTTAACTCTGGAATTTTCTCTGGCTGGTGAAGGGAGTATAAATTTATGTACTTTTCCATTTACTACATACATATACATAGAGACTATAAGACAGTGATGTACCCTATGTAATGGTGTATTGCCTATTCCAGGGTCTTCACACAAATGTACAGGAAGTGTGACACTTGTACAATATGTGATTGATGACATTGATTAATGTGACAAAATTATTTATTCTTATCATGAGATCATAGCTCTTCAGGAATGAGTACTTTACTTTCCCTACATCCCACCTTGATTGTTAGTTCCGTTATGAACAAGTAGATATGTCTTTTTTAGTCATGAAATGGTCAAAATCTATGTACAGTACTTGCACTGATTTGGCATGCCTGACACATCTGTGAAGTTAACAGCTCGCAACCAGACTTAGGTAGTTAGTATCTAAAGTCAAACATCTCAATTTACTGAATTTTAATGATTTAATTCTCTTTTTTTTGGCCCATATTATTGTGTTATAGTTTAATTTTAATAAACTGTCAGAAATGGCCAGACTTAAATCCAGCTTTGTTATATTTAAGGATGGATAGCCCTGAGCCAGATTACAAAAGTAATCTATGCTTTTCGATAGGATTTTGTTTGTGAGCAATATGTCCATGTGGTTGCAGGTTTGAGAGTTTGTGTGTAAATTCTTATTGTGCATGTATATGTGTGGAATGTGTGCCAGAATGTATGCTCTGTCGTTTGACATGAAAGTACTAGTTATATTCTTTATGCAACATGATGCAAGCCACCTATCTCCAAATACGTACTCTGTGCTCAATGGATGACGTCACTATATGTACTGTCAAGAGTAGAGGCCTAAATGATTACACAAAAAGAGAAAAGATGTTTTTAATTTTCTAAGGTCTAAAAAATATCCCATTTACTTCTTGATGCATGATATCCACATTGAGAAACACAGGAGGACTCTTTCATGCAAAGTGAATGGGATCTGAAGTACCATCAGTGTCATTTCACATGACATGAGTTTCATAGAGCTGAGATACTCACTTGTGTCCAGACAACCGCGTAGAGCCAGCACATCGATGATGTCATCCATCCTCTCCATCTTGTCCTCGTGTGGCATGTAGTCTGGCAGTCGCATCAGGGTTGTAAACTGAAACATCATTACAGTGAATGGTGTTTAAATCCACAGTCTGAATATTCCAGTAATACCACAGTAGCCTGTAAATAATCAAACTAGGCCAGGCAGCCTGTGGTTAATAGTGATGACCCATGCTGTTGTGGTACGACACACAATCAGTCAGATCGCACATTGTTGCCACACAATCCACAGTAGTGTCCTCAAACAAGAATGGGTATTGAGGGCCTATTCTGCAAAGGAATCAGACAATGCCTTGGGTTACAAGTACATAACGGCCATTACGCCATGAGGGTGTGTCATGTCCATTGTTTCAGCAGGTAGTTATTCTTTGTAACTAGTAACCATGTATGTGCACATGCCAAGATGGACAATTTGATGCAGAGGAGAGGGTGGTAAGCATGATTGTGTAGGTGTATCATGTTGGTAGCCCACATGGAATACATAGGTTAGCACTAAAATTATCTATAACTCCATTGTTACCCTACAAGTCACTAATGTTCGCATTTTTTTCTGACTACCGGTATTCACACATTCCTTCATCTTCCCGAGGCAAGAGAGTGAACTGACTATAAAAGTCCAGTTTCCACCCTTGCCGAACTAGGCTGGTATTATGGAGTTACATTTTGCCTGGACTAACGAGTCTATGCATACTCCAATCAAAATTGCGCACCGAAATCAAAATCCTGTTCGTAAACTGTCGTGCAGATTTCGGTCAATTGCAGGATTTGCAAAACATGAGCACTGTCAACTTGTTGTCAGCAGATATTTTCTAAATCTTTTCATGTTTTTAATCAAGGTGCTCACTTGATTTGATGCATTTCGCGATGTAAGACCCGTTTTATCACAATATAGATCTTGATTATTGATCAGATCGGCGCCACCATTTTGTGTGAAGCAAACGCAAGCGATACGAGAGGTGGAATCTGACTGGTCCATAGGCAAGGCGTAGAATGGACATAACTGGTAATAGCCACTCGAGCCAAGTAATACCAGCCTAGTTCGGCAAGGGTGGAAACTGGACTTTTAAAGTCCGTTAAGTCTCTTGCCTCGGGAAGATGACATTCCTTCTGACTTTTTTATGTTTGAATAGAGATAAAACTTACGTCAACTTCAGTGTATACATGACCAGATATTTTAATTTATATCTGTATAATATAAATTTTTCCAGGGCTATGGTCAAACTAATCCCAATCTGACATTCCAACTCTTGAGACCTACAGTGGGTACCCGGGTAGGGTTGGGTAATAGGGGGTCGGGTGCCCGGGTAGTAAATTTTGATTCTCCCAGCCCTAGTTGCCAACATATACTACCGCTACATTGCTTCATAGAATATAATCAGTGCACTATTGCAAGTATGCTAGAAGGGTTTTGTGAAATGATTATTTATTTATTTCATTGGAAGAGAAGCTTTTAATTCACATTTGTTAAAAGAAGACTCACATGATTTTGTTTCATGTGATCTATTGATCTTTTGTTGATCTATTTTAGTGTTTTTTCTTATAATTTCTATATTTAACTTTCACTTTAATCTAAAAAGTAGGAAAAAAAGGTGAAAACACATTTGTATCTTGTTCCGTGTTTTTTATCTATGATTGTTATTCTGGAGAATATTAAACATTATATTAATTTGTATAAAAAAAGAAACTTCACATTTCATGAACACATATGTAAGGATTCAAAACCAAGGTCTTCAGTGTAAAAATACCCCAGGATAATGTTGGCAGATGATTTACAGAATAAACTTTTCAATTGTTTACAACAAACAATCACATTTCTCTCATATTTTACAGTATACATACTGGCAGTATCATGGCTATATGTTTCTTTTTTATTCTAATTTGTCATTTAACATGTATATTTGTTTTGTTATATCAAAAACAAACTAAAGTGGAACATTCATTGCAAGGCCCATTTAAGTAATCACACCTGACTGTTTATTACAATCAGCAACAAAAAATGTTGTTTTTCTGATACAAATGTTGATTTTAATCATAAAGCCTCATATCCTTTTTAGCTGGTTTACAAGACTGGTCGACAAAAAAACACTGAAACTAGAAGAAAGAAAAAGACTTTTGAAAAATTTGTTTGACCAGCTTTGTTTTACAATTAGGTAAAATGAAAAATACACAAGATCTTATCGCCACTGAATAATATGTATAGTGGAAATATATGTATAACAATTTCTAAAATATATTTTTGTTCAACCACCTACATTGAATTTTTGGCTAAAAATTTGATAAAGCAACTTGTACAAAATAAAAGTCCAAATAAGCCAAAAACTATTAAATGAATGTTGTTTGCACACCACATGTTGTTTTGTCATTTTTGTTCAATTGCCTACAGATGCCAGATTGAGTGAGTTTGGTTTTAACACAACTTTGAACAGCGACAACTCATATTATGGTATCTCAGCTTGATGTGGGAGAAAAGCCTGAGGTGATGCAGGTCTCAGACATTTACCACACTGGTGAAATCCATGAGCACGGGTATGGTGCTGACAAACCGAGAAACAATCAGGGCGAACCAGGATTCTTGCATGTCAAAGGGACGTAGCCCTGTACAGTGAATTGGAGCACCTCAGCTCAAATAAATTTTAATCAGACAAACAGTTTGGTAGGTTGACACACATCCTGATCAGAACTGAGTCTTGAAGATACATCCTAACTTAATTGAATCTTTCAACGAGCGCTGGATTCTGAGGACCTGATCAGAAATCACCATCGTAACAGCAGTGGGGTATTCCAGAGGGCGGTTCTGGGGTTGGCCACCTCTACTTTTTTGAAATTTAAAAAAACAAAATATTGGACTGAATGGCGCATACCTTTTGACATTCCCAAAATAGGTGTGAAATAGTTTCTTTATCCTTTGAGCAAGAGCTACACAAGTCACCATGGTCACTGTCCACATATCCCATTTAATAAAGTAGTGAATTTGTAGGTACAATATGATGTAATATTTGATATTGAAATCACTGAAAGGTACATGACTTTGTAACCTAAATGAAAAAAGATTGTTATGTTTACGATCTGCTTCGGAGATTTCCCATTTTTGAAAGTGTTGATTCTTGGTAATTTGTTTATCCAAAAGTGTTTTATAGAAATATTGAGGACCTTTCCTGGTTTTTAACAAGTGAAATAAAGCAGATGGTAAAATTGGGTAACTTAGTTTCTTCAGCTTCTGAATGCCCTGTTGCCGACAGTATTGCTCAATAGATTAGATCAATCTCAGATAGTTAATATAAGATAATTAATTGTAATGTTGCATTTCTCCATGAATTGTACAATTGGGAGAAAAGGTGCCTTTCATCAATTCACTAATTAATATACATGATGTTGGCAGACAATTGTTCCCTTCCCAACGTGTATATTATCATTTAACCAGACATTTTGTGACAGAATGTCAGCGGCAGGAATAACATTATTTTCTAGACGGTCCACATAAGCTCACCAAGACAAGAGTAATCTTCATAGAACTTAAGACCGCCTCAGTGGTCTAGAGGTAGAGCATGCTCTCGGAGAGCAGAAGGTGGGGGTTCAATCCCTGGCCGCGTCATACCAAAAGATGTTAAAAGATGGTATTTGTTGTTACCATGCCTGACCCTCGGCATTAAGGGGATAAAACAAGGACTGGCCGGCTCAGAGTCAGTATACTGTGTCTGAGTGGGGTATTCATGTTAAACTGTGGCATGGTATCTCAGTGAGCTAGCACTATAAGACCAGCATTAGTCCAGACAAGTACAAGTAGACAGACACAAGAGCATGCACGTCGATTTAAAAGCGCAATAATCTTGGACGCAACATTAAACTCCATTTCACCTCATCTCAGAGAACTTATTGTTTTTTCTTGATAATATTTATGGCCTATGCTTCCAGCTATTGGTCTCGTACACATTTTGACAGTTTATTATAGGGGTATTTAAAAAGAATATAAAACACAATTTAGAATGGGTCGTAAAGGCTCATGTTATCATCGAAATGTTTTGAGGTTGTATGACTTCTTTAATTTTAGGGCATTTAATCCCACCATCTTTAGTTACACATATTATTTGTGATCTCTTTATTTTGTCCGGTTTATTTCCCCACAAGAATTTGAAATGTTGTGTTTGAATTTTATCAATTTTTCTTTGTGGTGGATATGGATAAGATAAGAATAGGTGGTAAAGTTCTGTCAGAACTAGTAATTTAAGTAAAGTATTCCTACCAAAAGGTGTTAGGTGTCTTATTGATCATGTTTACATTAGCGTTTCACGTTACTTGAACCTGTTTTCGTAGTTAGAGCCACCGTGTCATCCAGATCCAGACAGAATGTTATGCCCAATAATTCGAAACGTTCCTCTGTCCAGCCTAAATTCCATTTCAGGCAGAGTTTCATTTATCTTTTCTTTGACTCTATTCACATTAATTTTGTCTTATCTGTGTTTACTTTAAAACATGAAAAGCTTAAAAAGAATGTCAATTCATGCAAAACAGCATAGAGGCATCATTCAGAACCATCAAGTGAGCAGGTTTATAGTGCCAGGAGACGTCACCAATTTGTATCCCCTTTATATCCTGGTTATTTCTTTAGTATTACTAGTATTTTTACGCAAAGGATGAATATATAAAGTAATAAGGGATCTCCTTGACGACATCCTCTTCGTTCATCAAAGAATGAGGAACCAAAACCATTGACAAGAACTTGTAATTGTATTCCATTGTAGGAAGTATGTATCCGTTGTTTGATTGATTCTCCAAAACCAAAGTAAGCCAAAGTAAGAAATTCTAATCGACAGTATGGAATGCTTTTTGAAATTCGATCAACAGTAGTAGGCCTAGTTTTAGTTAAAGCTCAAGTAGCGAAGTACATTCTTGATGTTAAGGATGGGGATAATGCAGTTACCATGTTGTTTGACGAGGACATATTAAGTTGTGACTTAAATGTCTTATGTGTTTATAGTTATATTCAGCCAGAAGGCTCGTCATGGTATGATGACAAAGACAGTCGCAATGGTGTAGACTTACTTTTGAACTTATTACTTAGTATGTTGGAAAAGTATCCAGATGTTTCCATTTTATTGTTCGGGGATTTAAACAGCAGAACTGGCACAGAACAAGGCTAGGTTGGAGATAATATCATTCACTATGTGGAGGGGGATGAACATTATACCAACCTTTTAACCAAGTTCAATATGCCACGAATATCTAGCGACCAGAAGGAGAATATGTTCAGTAGATCTCTCCTGGAAATGTGCTCACTTCTGGACATCCATATTATCAATGGAAAGGTTGGGGCAGACTCCGGTGGCTTCACTTTCATAGGACATTTGGGATGCAGCGTCATAGTCTATACATTAGCATCAACAGATATATTTCAACATATCCCAGACTTTGACATTATGTCCCGCTCATAAAGTGACCATTTACCAATCCGTGTGAGCATTCGTCATAAGGGAGATGCGTTCGAACCTGAGGATAGTCAGGTATACTATAAGTACATATGGACTGATAAACTTCGTGAGACATTCATGATGAATATATCATCACCATGTATCACTGGTATGCTAGAACGTGCAGCCTTATGTTCACTCTCAGATGCATCTACTGCAGTGACTCTACTGACAGATGCTATTCTGTCTGCTGCTTGTGTGTTCAAAAGGGAGAATAGAGGTAAAAGGCATAGTGATTCCCCATGGTATGACAATGAATGTCGTATTAAAAAACACGAATGCTGTCATGCACTAAACACCTTTCGGGTTACTCAGAGCACTGAACATCTAGCCAAGTACAACAAGGTACGCAATGAGTACAGGGCCTTGTGTAGGACAAAGGGGGACCAGTATCAACAGCGTAGTAGAGTAGAACTGATAAACTCAACTGGTGACTCCAAACATTTTTGGGACATTGTAAAAGTCTGTACCTTTGTGAATCTCATGTCTTGACAGAAAACATTCTTGACTGCCCTATAACAAGATTAGAAATCACAGACAGTATTCGAGCCTTAAAGAACAATAAATTAGCTGGAGTTGACCATATCATAAGCGAATATCTAAAACACTGATCAGATGTTATTTCTCCTTACTTGGAGATTATATTTAATAGTATGTACGAATATGGTGTTTTTCCTGAGAATTGGTCATTAGGAATTATCATTCCATTACATAAAAAAGATGATGCAATCGTTCCAGATGAATATCGAGCAATAAGCCTTCTGAGTGTCCTTAGCAAAGTATTCACTTCATCATGTGTGTTTATTGCATACTTTATTCATTTTATGCAAGAAATTAGTTTTCTGGGCAGACACACTTTGTGTTATTTCTGAATGTCAGTCAGGCTTTCGGAAGGTCTATTCCACTGTAGATAACTGTTTTGTCCTTAATGCTCTTGTACAACAATTCCTTTCACGTAAAGGGGGTAAGTTTTACGTCACTTATATTGACTTCTCTAAGGCATTCAATTCCATACACCGTAACCTTCTTTGGAGTTTGCTTCATAAACAGGGATTAAGTACAAAAATGGGTAGAATATTGCAGTCAATCTACAAGGACATTAAGGCAAGTGTAAGGTCTAACAATCGTATGTCTGAGGCATTCGATTACCCTTTGGGTGTCAGGCAAGGCTGTGTTCTTAGCCCGTTCTTGTTCCAGTTTTTTATAAATGAAATAGTTGGTGATAGTGTTTCTAACCTCCAGAAGAAATTAAGCGTCCTTGAGAATTTTTGTAACACTCAAAAAATGTCAGTTAATATGTCCAAGGCCAAAGTGGTTGCATTTAAAAATGGTGGTTGTTTGTCACATTTCGAAAAGTGTTTTTTCAAAGGGAAAAGGGTTGAAGTTATACTTACTTGGGTTTGTATTTTTAATAATAGGCTTCACTGGTCTAAAACTCTTGATAAGATTGCCCTGCAGGCGAAAAGGGTATGGATAACTATCCTGAGAAGTATACATTCGCTACAACCTTTTTCACCAGATTTCTACTTCCAAATTTTCAATGCCAAGATCATGCCAGTGCGAAAAGGGTATGGATAACTATCCTGAGAAGTATACATTCGCTACAACCTTTTTCACCAGTTTTCTACTTCCAAATTTTCAATGCCAAGATCATGCCAGTGCTTCTGTATGGTGCTGAGGTCTGGGGGTTTGAAAATGTTGAAAAATTGGAAACTGTGCAGTTATATGCTTGTAAACGGTTTTTGGGTTTAAAATTATCCGCATCAAACAATGCTGTATTGGGCGAGTGTGGCAGATACCCTGTTCGTGTATATGCTTTTTGACTAGATGTGTGAAATATTGGCTGAACATACTTAAGATGCCAGACTTCCGTTTACCAAGAAAGTGCTACATTGTGTTGTGCCTGTATGATGAACATGGTCATGTCAATTGGGTAACTAAATTAAGGAATTGTCTTTGTAAACTTGGGTTTGGAGATGTATGGAGGTTCCAAATGCATGGAAACCGAAGGGTTTTTCATAATATGCTTCAACAACGTTTGAAAGACAATTTTCAGCAGATCTGGCATAGCGAACTTCTTGCAAGTTCAAAAATGTTATATTATATTTGTTAAAAACTTATGTTAAATGTGAACCTTATTTGTCATTCTTAAATTTGCAAAATATGAAAACAACCCTCACGAGATTCAGACTGAGTTGTCATACTTTGGAAATTGAGAATGGACGTCATTATCAAATCCCAAGAAATTTAAGAAAATGCAAACTTTGTAAATTAGACCGTGTTGAAACTGAGTACCACTTCCTTCTTATTTGTTCATCGTATGTCAAGTTACGGCAACTATATCTGAAAGCAAAGTTCTATTGTCATCCTAATGTTCATAAATTTAATATGCTTCTGTCATCACCAGATACATATATTATTACAAATCTAGCAAAATATCTGTATTATGCAAATCAAGTAAAAAATGCGAAACTGAATGTTTGAAACTTGTCTGTACTCAACTTTTGTACAATAAGGGTTGTGGCCTATATGTATTAAAAATAAAATGATTGATTAAGTAGGCCTGGAACTTGATAAATATAGAATACTAAACATTTTGCTAAACGAGCTCCTGTGTAATACCAATTTTATGAAACGAGTAAATAGTTCTGGTATCTGCGAAAGCGAGTCAGATACCACAACTATTCACAAGTTTCATAAAATTGGTTTTACACGGGAGCTCGTTTAGTATTTTATTTATTACTGGCCATTTATAACGTTTTTAGAATTATACTGTTGAGTGTGAATAAGCTGACACCTACACGATCCACAGCATAATCGAACTGAGTTTAACACAGTAATACTTCAAATACTTCAAAAGTTGAAACGTATGAATTTAATACCATCCAACGGTCCACCTTTAGAATTCAGGCGTCCGTTCCACAAAATTATCGTAACGTTAAGGTTATCTCAACTCATATACTTTAACTTAGACCTACGATCACCTTGTGGAACGGGGCCTTGCACCTCAAAGTTTACAATCACGTCACAAAACCCAATGACATATAATTTTTGGAATTTTGTTGCAACAATGCCATGTGACGTCAACCTAGCAACAAGGTTGCTTGGGTCATCGAGTGTGCATAAGCATCTCTCAGTGATCTATCATTTCCACACGCAATGACGTTGAATAAGCCAAGGGATGTTGAGAGCTTTCAATATTTGTTCGTGAAACGTGTTCCAAGGGTACATAAGCACACGTTTTGGTATTACACAATGTGTAATACAGCTGTATGTTTATTAAACGGGTGATCTCTTCACGGGCAAGTAATAATATTCAGTATACTGCATTAGATCATATATCTGTCTTGTTATTTTCCCAATGTATTGCCCAGACATGAAACCCTTCTGATCTTCGTTAAACATTAATTGTTTTGGTTCCTATCTTTGGGCACGTAATTAGTCCCCAGACTCCCCTAGAGTTTTCCTCTCTTTTGGGCAAAACCTGCACACGTCCCTGTTACATACAAAAGTTGATTGAGCAGCACACTACATCAGGCTGCATAATGCTGGAGATGAACCAGCACATAGACACTGTCTCCTCCTCATTAGTGTGGTAAGCTTTCCAATATTGTCATGCATTTGAAGGTTTAAATAAAACTAAAACTGAACAACTAAAATGAAATAACAAGTGAAATAGACCACAGCAGCATGGACGCCATAGAATGAGTCATGAATACTCATAAATGTGAAAAACTATGTGGAACTCTGTAAGCATGGTAAGAGTTTAGGTATTTTGGGTGAAAATCAGTTCACTATAGCCGGTTATATATACGTCAAACAGAATTTGTTACTTGCGTCACTTTAGTGAAGCAGCCGGCACTTTTAAAATAGTTTATCATATAAACTATTAGTACGAGATGCCTGCTTTGTTTAAATCATGTACTGCAGCATCCCATCCTCACCATCAAGGTTTCTCTGAGAGTGAGTCCAGCAAAGAAGATGTCCTCCTGGAGAACATAGCACACTTTCCTCTTCAGCTGCTTATCCAGAGGATGCTTGTTGAGAGTTATATCCCCTGAGTGAAGGCCATTTCGTCCAGCAAGGGCATTCAACAATGATGTCTTTCCACTGCCTTAAACAAACAGTTGTAACAAAATAGACAAACTTAACAAAATATTTGTCAACATTGAAACTCAAGTAAATCTTTGATAGAAAAAAAAATTGCTTATAAATGATAGTGATTAGGTCCAGTATATTTATCCAAGGATTTATCTAGGATTCCAAACAAAGTGGCAGGTAAATGGGGAAGCATCATTTTGTTCACAATTTGGTGCTTTTTCCCCCCAATTCAGTGGTATTTTAAACTTGAATTTTAACATTGCATTCAATGCAATAATGTTAAACTAAGTATTAAAGGCTTTCCCTCTATGTTGGTCCAGTTATCAGAGAAGTAATTGTCACCTCTACAAAACCGTAACATTAATTGTATCTATAACAGTATGAATTAGGTCATGTTTGGTAATGTTTACAGCCATTTGCTTCAGACTTGGGGCCGAGTATCGGTCTAGAAAAATCCCTGTTTTCATACAAGAAAGGAGGCATAATGCACTGGGCCATTAAGGAAGGGCAAGATGAGGATGAATGACAGACTTATACATGTTCTACACTCTGCATGTGAAAGTCAGCCTGCCACCTTCCTGAGGCAAGGGAGTTAACTCACTACAAAATTATGGAGTTTTATTTTGGCTGGACTAAAGAGTCCATGCATTTTCCAATCAAAATTGCATAATGAAATCAACATCCGGTTGGAAACTGCAGTGCAGATTTCGGTCAATTGCAGGGTTTGCAACATGTGCAAAAGCTGTGTACAGTCAACTTAGCGTCAACAGACTTTTTTCAAATCTCTTCATGTTTTTAATTTGGGTGCTCACGAGATCTGATGCACTTCACAAAGTAAGACCCATTTTATTACACTATAGATGCTGATTATCAAACATAACTCGGGTGGCACTACGACCAAGTCCAAAATCCAGCCTAGTTCAGCAAGGGTTGAAATTGAGCTTTTAAAGTCAGTTGAATCCCATGACACAGAATGGATACATATATCATAAATGCCATACTTTGATTCGTTAAAAGTCATATTTGTTTTTGTTGGACGATTCTATGTCAACACGTAATTCTCGCAATCACGCGATCACGTGCACGGGAGCCTTGACGGTGACTGGTCAGACTGGTTCCATGTAAAAAATAATACCCGGCAATAGCGATCAGCTGCTTCGCTTAGGGTTATTATTATTTTAAATATGTTTAGTAAAAGCTGCATCTAAATTAACAAGATATTGGAATATATTATTCCTGATAAAAAAATAGTTTCAGATACAACTTTTGCTGATCTTGCATTTAAAATACTGTAAAGTTATATCATTGGGTGTGTCTTGACCGAATCACCGGTAGATTCCAAGAAAACGTGTGTACAGCTGATTGCTGTGTCCGGCTTAGTTTACGAGAAAATGCACAAGGTAATCTTAATCCCTGGATATAAAACAATGCCTAGCTGAACAAAAAATACAATTTAAACGGTAAATTAACATGTCTGGTGATTTTTTTATCTCGAATTTCGAATTTGTACTGACAAAGTTTCTCATCACCCGTTCGTTTGCCAGACTTCGCTGAAGGGGTACGGTGTAATTTTTTTCTGCGCATAATATTCAAAGTCACAAATATCTAAAATAAACAGAATACAGTCATGCCCCGCTTATATGGACTTCAAATATCCCGAAACCTCGGTTACCGGACGATTTTCTTTTAAAACAAAATAATTACTATATAAATTTTCGGAACCGAGAGGGGGGGGGGGGGGCGCTTATTGGGGGAGGGGTGGAATACGGTAACCATATATTCATACTGATGGTATTCTTATGTGATTAGTACACAGATATAGGAACACATGCATTCATGGAGTCTATCTTACCACTCGGCCCCATCACAGCCAATAGCTGTCCAGCCTGAGCGATGCCACTGACATCTTGGAGGATGTGCTTGTCTCCAACTTGATGGTTGATGTTTTTGAAAACCAGCTCCAACACCCTATCCTTGGTCTCCTCATCATCTGAATTGGCAAGGCCATTCTCCAACATGGGAGCCAGGTCAGCCATCTTGGATTGCAGTAAGATTATTTGTGTTCACAAATTTGCAGTGTGATGTTGATTGATCAGTGGTAGAATACTTGCATTCCTGGCTGATGAAACTGAAACAATGGATGGAATACGCACGATATAGAAGAAGTATGTCATTCTCACATCCAAGAAAAAAGTATTGCAATGAATATTGATCAGTGGAGGTATCAAAATATTAAGGACACTGTAACAGTCTGGTTTGTTCACAGGCTCTTACAAACATTGAGTATTGAGGACCTGTTCTACCAAACTATGAAAATATATGGGTTCAATGGCAAAATCAAACACTCGGTGTTTGAGTTATTGTTCATAATATACTTCACTGGTTTGTCTGGCCTGATTTGATTATTTACAGACCACAGCCATGTAGCTGGAATATTGCTGACTGTGGCTTTTTACAACAAATTAACAGATAGGAAACCAGAACTGCATGTTGGTTGTAAGAAACTCGTAAAATGAGGATCTAGTAGTTAAATATGTACAACATGTGACCTGGCTGGATCATGGGTTGTGCTGTCAACGACTGCCATAACTGGTTTGCCCGACCTTGACTCTTGACAGCCTGCGGAGGCTGCTGATTCTCAGTGACAGCAACGTGACACAACATTCACTGTTTTCACTCAGGCTCCATGTAATGTGCCATCTCCCAAACCCAACCCAACATGTGCAAGTTCATAATGTCACTACACAGCTACAAATTAATTTTTATTTCACTGGTCCTGATCTGCTGTGGAGTTGTCATCTACCTAACATGCCCATGGGTGAGGCAGTCCACAAGGAAATGTCACTGGTCCTTCCTGTCAGAATTTAACTAGTCTCAGACTAGCAGACATTATAATTTTGGACCATGCATTAAGTTAACAATCCATATAAGTTGGTAATACTAATAAAGCTTTCAGGCAACATAATACAAAATCTGTGAAATGATATTTTACATATTCAACTCAATGGCATTATCTATTACTAGTCTAGACTAGGGCTGCAATGAATACACTATAAGGCGAATACGATCTGTATCACGAATATAGTGTAACGAATACGAATATTTATTCACAAATACAATAACAAGTCAGCAGTTGATGGATTATTTGTTATAGTCAATGAAACAAAAGCAACACAAATTATTTGACATGGTTTGTTAATTATTAACATATTATACTTTTATATACTGCACTTATCCAGGTACTAGTATCTGCTCAAATGACAATGACCAGTGACCACATTACTGTCAAATATCATAAGAGTGTTGTCTTTGAAGAAATCTATGCATATTATATGTTCTTATGGATATTTTTAGATACAGGGTATGTAAATGAATATGACTGCATATTCATAAATATTCTATTCTATTGGTCACGAATTGGTCAGAATGGATATGGTTCGATTCACCGAATACACGAGTGACTTGTACATGTTGTAACAGCCCTAGTCTAGACATGCATTTATTTTAAATTAAAAAAACAATATTTTGCAAATTGAAATACCATGTTGATGTCAATTCATATATTCAGTATACGCTACAGTACATACGCTACACATGATATAGACAAAACAATAACATTCAAAATGATAATCACATATCAGAAGGTTATTAAAATGGTATTGGTGTTATTAACCAGTTCATGGCATCCATTGTTCTCATGTCTATATTGTCCAGTGTACAGAAAACAAATGTCAAATTCATTTCAAACGATAAATCACCCCGTACCATAGCCTTTAATGTCATAATCTAAATAATGCTTCATATAGTTACTTGCCACTAAACCCTGTCAGAACTCTGGGTTAGAATTGGTCTGCGGACATCTATGCTGGTTGCAACAAGCAACCATATGGATCTGGTGGTCAGACTCACTGACTTGGATAACATAGTGCATCATACCCCAACCCTGCAGATCTTTGCTCACATCAATCTTGGGATTGTCTGGTCCAGGCTCAATTACTTACAGGCCATAGTCTTATAGCTAGAATATTGCTGAGTGGGTGTTACACAACAAACAAACAAACAAACAAACTTTGATAAAAAGAAATATATTTACATAGATCATTAATATGTAACTATAAGCATGGTAAGATGCCACATTGAGGTCAAGTATCCGGATCTGTTTGTTGTACAGTGTAGCAGTTGTTAATAATAGATAACTGGTCAGCCTTCAATCCCGATCGCTTCATTGATCCTATATCATATATGCATGACAATTGCTGCAATTTATTGATGTATCCCGGAACAACTGACAACTGGTGTTGCTCCAAATCAACAATGATCAATCGGTTTCACTTTCCAACTACGGAATCCATCCTAAATTCTAGAGGTTACATGATACGTATGTATTGATAAATATCGCGAAAGCGAGTCACAATACGACATGTATCATGATACTTAATTAGGCATTTTTTAAAAGTGAAATTCTCCATGTTCCATGTGGCCTGGCTAAAAAGAGGATGTTGCCATGAACCAATTAGTGACTAACTTGCATGACTGGTTAAAATACACTTTTCTGATTGTCTCATGAAACTAGGATTAATGTTGTTTTGTGACAGATTATCAGACCAAGCTACTGCATCATATATCAAATAATAATACTGTCTGAAACCCAACACAGAATGAACCTGATGAAACTAAATCACAACATGGGCAGGCACGTAAATCTGCAATACATTGGTGAAATCATGACGCTCCTCTTGAGTTCGGTAATCAATTATTTTCAAGTAGTATCTGTTGATATTTGAGTCTTGTGGCAATAATGAGCATAAATTGCATAAGAAGTAAACACAGAAGTCTGATACTGAATCCTGTTGATACATGATATGATAATAACAAGTGTTTGTTGTATAGTTGGACTTCATGTCTATTAACATTAATTTGGATGAAATCATTCGTGAACTGAACGGCAGATTGCACTGTTGTTTACAGCTGCCATGATCTGATCACCGTTATTGATCATGATGACACTTGAAACAAAACTTAGTTGTCACTAAAGTCGGAGATCTGATACATATATCATACATGTTATACTTTGTCTCACTAAATGTCAAATAAGTTATAGTTTGACTATCATATGTCAACATATTGTTTTCACGATCTAAATATGAAAACCGTGGGAAGCTCAACAGTGATTCGTCAAACTGTTCCAAATGTAATAAGTATCAGGCAATATACCAAAGTGCAACACTTATGACTACTCTTACCGTATTCGATGTAATAAGCGCCCAGGGCGCTCTTAAAATTAGAAATAGGGGGCTCTTATTAGAATATTATTTTGGTGAAAAAAACACAGAGTTGAAAGATAAATTTTGTGGTTTATGCTGACAGCCTGAAATGTTTATATACGACAGATATATTTGTCCAGAATTTAATTGCTCATAATTGAGGGTGCTTATTACACACGAGTGCGTATTATACACGAATAAAGAGGTCGTGTGTACATTGATCAATCGGAAGGGGTGCTAATTGGGATTGTTCACTAGCCAATATATTAGCAAATATCGCCATGGCCCGCTTATTACAGCGGGGCAAATGCAAGATGTACCCAGTTCAAAATCATATGTAATCATTACATTTCAGGAGGAATGAAAAACCCAACTAGTTCATATGATTTGGTTGGTTGGTTGTTTTACGCCTCACTCAGCAATATCCTAGCTATTTGACCGCGGTCTGTAAATAATCAAATCTGGACCAGACATTCCAGTGATTGACTTCATGAGCATCATTCTATGCAATTGGGATACAATGTATACAAGTCAGCGAGCCTGACCACCCGATCCCATGAGTCGCCCCTTACAACAAGCATAGTCGCCTTTTACAGCAAGCCTGGGTTGCTGAAGGCCTATTCTAACCTGGTTCTTCACGGGTCCGATTTCGTATGAACATAATGAATAAGTTCTGTAGTGTAAACGAAGAACTCAGCGAATCGGTCGTGATATTGAAATTAAATTGTGAAAAGTCAGTCAACATAAACTTGGTGGCACAGGTAAGATAACTAATGCGCATGCAGGCTCCTTATGCATGGCGCATGACTTTCCCAATCACTGTTTATTGTTATCTACATGAAGCATACAGATACATGTACAAAGCTGCCCTAAAGTTAGGATTTGGTTGTTATTACTCATGAGTCATGACTGACTATTAATCTATCATCATGGCCGCCACAGTCATATATCAGTTTCGTTTCAGTGACACAATTATTCTTTCCATTTTGACTGAATTACCAGACTGTACGATAACAGAAAATAAGGTATATATACAGGCATTAGTAATCCAGACTGTGAATTTTAATGATCACACTGACTGCAGGTGCAGAATCACCTATTTTGCCTATAAATGCAATAGGACACTTTCACAGTGATTATTACTTAATCATGTTAATCATCAATTATTACTTTTTAAACCAATTATCAATATTGTAATTGTAAAAAATTTCAACACTACTGATCACACTACAAAAAACATTTAAATTGTGAAAACATGTAGTGACAAGAAATGAGTTTCCAATCTTATCAAAATGGAAAGTTAATTATGAAACATGGCCGACTAGATTTGCAGATGAGACTTGCAGAGGTTAAAGAATATGTATGTCAGAAGACACACAGTGACTCACCAGCAGAAAACCATCATGAGTTGCCTGGACTTGCTCATATACGTCCAGCCTGACACCCTGTCTCAAACATGGACCTGTCTCGGAGCATGACACCAGATTATGCAGATATGGCTTTTATAAGGTACCAGTGTTGTTGCTGTATTCAAATGAAATACAGTAACTATTTGTTAATATCCAAAATAAATGTGAGCTTTGTGTAAAAAATAAAAGTTTCAATGCTGAACATGCTGAAGCGTGAGATTGTATTCAAGTACTGATGACGATGAACAACACGAAATGCAGTCCAAAAGGCAATCTGTTGCCCATTTACATCATAGGTCTCAGTGTTGTTAGTACTGCAGTGGGTGACACTGAATCATTCTCTCTGTGCTATATGCCTGGGATTTATCTAGGCCTGCTCAGACGACAGTATTCAATATTCAGACCAGTGTCTGCAGCAAACACCATGAAACATTCTAAAACTTGGAATGAGAAAC